TTGGACTTCAAACAGAAGTGAAAGTTACCCGCAAATGATATATCAATTGCATGGAGTAAGTAATTTTGTATGGCATAACGAAACATATGAGTTAAAAAATAAATCGTGCATCATTCTTAGTGTTTTTACGAAAAATAGCATGCTCCGTCACAGCGGACAAATATTTCGATACCAGCCTGTGATAAAAGATTATTCAACAAGGGGTCTAAAACATCTTCAAAAGTAGAATGGTTTGAAAGACTAGATTTGAAGATATCAATTTTCGATGACCAAAATCCTGCTGAAAACAATGGATAGCATGAGTTTTCCCTATGGGAAAATAAAATGGGAAAAGTGGTTTTTAACTTTATCGCATTCAATTTAAATATTAATATATTTAAATTGAGAAAAACAAGTTAATAAGCCTTACATTTTTAAAAAAGTGACAAGGTGGGGTCCTAATCCATAATTTTTCAGAGAGTTGGATTGATATTTTACTATCATGGAGACTTCACTTGAAAGAAAACATGTTGTTTTAATAAAACCATTGTATCATGGGCTTTCAATATTGATTGCCCATGATTGTATTTATACCCAGAAAGTACCAATGGTGAAAGTTATGACTGTCTAAATTCACTTGCCATACTGCACATGGACCTTACATTTTCCTCATATGGAATGAAGGACGAAGTCAAAAACACTTTGATAGTTATAAACAACCTTTAACAGAATTCAGTTTTTGAGGGAAAATTGGTCAATGTCGTCATAATTGATATGCAAATGTGCTATTTATGCATGATGTCAAATCAATTTTATTCCACATCGTTTGATACCAATTATGTTAAGATAGTTTGGGAAACAAGAAATCTACAATACAAAATGCATAAGGCTTATGTACTTATTAAAACATTGAAAACTTGGCGTGGCCTGTGTGTCCCGTTTTTAATAGCAACTGACGCATATTTGGAACAAATCGATATCAGATCATTAATCTAGATCTATCGTCATACAGTGTACCTCTCAAGACTTTAAACTCCTCTAGATAAAGCCTTTTGGAGGACTTCCTCCTCGCCTATAAGTAACTTAAACCTGGAATTGTACCGACGGAGATTTTAAAACGTTCCACTAAATTTGAGACAGACAGAATGACAGACAGACGACGGACGGGCAGACAATCGGACAAGTAAGTGATTACAACAGCTCATCATGTGAGCTAAAAAAGACAACATTATATTCCAGAGATTAGTTATTACACATCGTTTTGATTTCATCCAGCGTTTTATTTCATAACATCGTTGTATCATGATTAATCGATCGATTCACATGTACATACAGCAGAAAAAGCAATTTAAAATTGAACAAATAACATTATAATATCAATAGCAGTACAAATGAAATAAGCATTACATTACTGCAATATCAATAGGCTCATATGAATGTTTAGTTGAACATTTTTATAAAAATTTGCATGTGAACGTGTAATATTATGAGCCTCTCGGGATAATGTCCCTCCTCCTAATGACATTATTTTTTCTTATATCTCTATACTAAACTGGGCGACTAAACGAAGGAAAGACTAATCCTACAGGGCGATAATTCAACACGTTCAGGTACACGTTTTCTTAAATACCTGTATATAACATCGAGGACTATTATAGATAGCAGATTACCAAGAACATAATCTATTGAGGCTAGAACTTCAAATCTCTACTGGCGGGCCCAAAAACTTGTATGGCCTCAATTAGTTGGCTTTTGTGGGTATTACTTGGCTGTTTGGGTTTTTTAGGCCAAATTGTCAAGAAATGGGCCTCAAATTTTAAAATTTGGGCCCAACTTTTTGATTTAGTGGCCCAACGATCTTTTTCACCCCTTGTAAGCTTCTGGATCCGCCAGTCTATCCCATTGGTTTGTGTGCAAATATTGACTTATTTTATCAAATTGATATGAGTTTTGTCGTACTATTAAACGACTTACATGGCAAAAGATTCAATATAATTTGAGTTGTTAGCAATAACTTTACGTCTGATGTTTTTATGGAACCCACTTTTACCGCCATCTATCTTTAGTCCTCATAGTATCTAGCAGTTTTAGATCATCTAGTCACAGAGACGGTTATTTAAGAGTACTAAATGATACACAATTGTGAGTTTCCATAGACTACAGGTTAAAATAATATGAGTTTAAAACTTTAATATGAACATCCTTTCTCCAATCATCATATGAAAATACATATTTTAATTGTCACAACAAGTTTTTTTCATTTTCACGGTAAATGAATCTAAATTCAAAGTTTCATCCCATTATGTATTGAACTAATTTAATTAACAGTTTACTTTGGGTTTTACATATATCTTTAGATACACAGATATGTCTAACATTTTTGTTACACAGTATTACTATAAATTTTACATACAACTCTATAAAGTCTGTTGACCCGCAGGTCACATTCGAATTATACACCAGGTTATGGACCAAAAATAACCAAGATCAAAGCAACTGGTACATGTTGTACTAGATCTGCTCTCTATAAGGCTATGTTCAACCCTGATTTGGCATTTATCTATAAAGTCTGTTGACCTGCAGGTCACATTCGAATTATACACCAGGTTATGGACCAAAAATAACCAAGATCAAAGCAACTGGTACATGTTTTACTAGATCTGCTCTCTATAAGGCTATGTTCAACCCTGATTTGGCATTTATCTATAAAGTCTGTTGACCTGCAGGTCACGACATTCGAATTATAGACCAGGTTATGGACCAAAAATAGCCAAGATCAAAGTAACAGGTACATGTTGTACTAGATCTGCTCTCTATAAGGCTATGTTCAACCCTGATTTGGCATTTATTAAATCTTTACCTGATCAAAGTCAATGAATTTTCAATAATATGATGCCCCCACATTTTATGATAGAGTCCACAACTGAAGAATAAGTAGTACACTGCAGTTACTATTACATAGTTTTTCATTTTTCTTTGATATACATGTAAAGATTTTCCTTTCTACACATGAGTCCCAAAAGTAAAATCAAGAGTTCAAAAATGTTGAAAATTAAGCACTTAACATGCACACACTTCTGCATACTACAAAGCAGTTGTTTACTGAGCATTATAGTAAAACATATTTCCTCCATGAGTTCACCACTACATGTACACAATTTTGAGAATAAACATTAAGCGATTAAGTACTTTCAATCCTTACAAGTTGTAGTAAATATATTAATGACCAAAATACCTTAATATAAATTAGTCAGTATGATTATTGAACATTTAATAAAGTTAATAACATCTAGAATATAATTTTTTAGTTGAATATGAGTTTACATCCACTGTTTTCATATGCAGTATGTGTTGTTTTTTAAATGTGTGTATAATTGGTATCCATTTTGGCACAATCATAACTTTAATTCATACAAACAATTGTCTACATTTAAATAAAACATGACTTGCTACTAAATATTACTTGATAATTATGGTTTTAACCATTCTTCAGTTAATACCAATAATATCTATACTAGATGGCCAGGTGTCAATCTTAAACAAAAGTAAATTATTTGTTAGCAATAACTAGTTGCAGAAACTCACCAACATAACTCTAACTATGACATTAATGATCCATTTGATACAAATGTACATAATGTGCATTTAGCATGCCAAGTAATGCCTGGGTCACATTTGCTCCGATTGAGTGTTTTGCTCAATATTGTATTCAATTTTGAACAAAATACTCAATCGTCCGGAGCCGTAGTGAAAATCGGAGCAAATGTGACCAAGGCATTACTGATGTAGATTCTCAGAGTAGTCGGTTTACATTTAAGCCATATTGTATTTACTACATTTACCAAAATGAACATTACATGTTGTTAAATGGCAAAAACTGGCAAAATTAAAAGTGCTCTGAACCATGGGGTAAAGGCCAGAGTAATAAAAGGTGCCTAGTGTTGTTACATTTTCATTGAAGTTTGAAATATAAATGGATGGTATTGACTAATAAATGACCAAGGCCCTCTGCTGTCTGCCAATTTCTATATGCTTTTACAAAAATATTGAGGGGCTTTAATTTTTCTTTAAATTAATTTTGCAAAAAACATTGACATGATAATGCAACAAGCAAAATAATTGTATAAATATATTAACTATCAGTCTAGCAAACTGCATCAAGAAAAACTTGATTCAACTTTAGATGAAGTTTCTTCAATGAATGGTGTTCATTTGCCACTGCCGCAAACATTTTAAAAATTATATTTTACTTCAAATCGACATGGTTGTCATAGCTACACCATTCAATTTAGGTCATTGAGAATTTTTAATTAATATCAAATATTGACTAAATAATGCTGTCCAGTCCACTGTAAAATTCAAAATTCGGCTTCTTCATGTAAACATAACTCATTTGTCAACTCCAAAAATTCAATTTTCTACAATTTCTATACATTTTTGTGGTTAATTAAGTTTCAGTATCATTTGGTCATGATTTGATCATAACAGTCATATCAGAATATCTGATGGTTCATAATTCAAATCTTACAGTGAAACTTCCAGGACTAGACGTTTAACAAAGGCATAACTGTTGAACATTAATCAACTAAAAATATTCTAACCCTCTCATGCCTTTGTCCATATGTCTGGCTAACAAGTTACTGCTATGGAGTAAGACTTAGCCATTGACTTTTTGCCTTGCTTTACAAGTTCTTGTCACGTGGTAGGATTAACCTGTTTTTGTCTGGCTTAATAATTTCCTGTTATGTGGTAGGATTAAGCCTTTGACTGTTTGCCTTGCTTAACAAGTTTCTATTATGTGGTAGGATTAAGCCTTTGACTGTTTGCCTTGCTTAACAAGTTTCTATTATGTGGTAGGATTAAGCCTTTGACTGTTTGCCTTGCTTAACAAGTTTCTATTATGTGGTAGGATTAAGTCATTGACTGTATGTCAGGCTTAATAATTTCCAGTTATAAGGTAGGATTAAGCCTTTGACTGTTTGTCATGCTTATTAGGTTCCTATTATGTGGTAGGACTAACGTAAGCCTTTGACTATGTGTCTGGCTCAGCAATTTAATGCTATGGAGTAGGACTAAGCCTTTGACTGTGTGTCTTGCTTTACAAGTTCTTGTTGTGGAGTTGGACTTAGCTCTGGCAGCTCATCTTCATCCATTTCAATTGTAATTCCATTACTCGAGTGAACACTAACTCGTATACTACCATTGACACTCCCATTCATTGTACTATTATCGCCCACACTTAATTGCGAGCGCAAACTCTGAGAACCATTCAAAGAACCCATTTCAAACTTGGGTGGATTTTGAATTTGGTCTATATCCATTGTTTCTACATCGACACCATCTATTATCAATTTTTGTTTCATTTGGCGAGTTTTGGGATTTTTTTGTGTAAGCCTCGTTCTCATTGTTGGTGCTTTGAGCTCCATGCGTCGCTGAAGTTCGCTGTTCTTCCTACGTGCATGATACATGAAGATCGCAACTATGATTACTAAAGATGCTACGTCAATGATGATCCACATTATCATGTAGTGCTGTGGCTCCTGAAAATAATCATTATTAATTATTAGGGGTGAGACGAGTCGAAAAAATCCGATTCGAGTCGAATCCGATTCGAGTCAGAAAATGACAATTCGAGTTTCGAATCCGTTTCGAGTCAGATAAAGTGCGAACAACATCGCTTTTGACTGTTCGTATTTTTAATGCGTCAATGGTGGAAAGCCGGAAATATACTGTACTCCGGGTAAATTTCGACGCTATAAAATTTCGCGATTTTTCAAAATTGCAATTTCGCAGCTATTTAATTTCGTGGATTTGAGTTGATGACATTTCGAATTTTTTCCGATTACCGTGAATCAATGCGTATCTGACTATTTTAGCCCGTTCAGAATCCGATAATGTTTGTATTTCCCACGTTTAGGGCATTTATTTAAATATTCTTGAATGGCCTTTTCAACTTCAATTTGTCGGATATCATTGTCGCAACAGTTCTTGCCTTTGTTGGCCTAATAAGCCTATTCAAAATGTTAGACATTTTAGGCCTTTTTGAATTATCGCCCAACAACACTTAACGTAACGTAACGAACACCGAACGAAACATATCAAAAGTCTCAGGTCAAATCCCTGCGGATTTAAAAGACAAATTTCGCGACGATAAATGTTCGCGATTTTACTACATTCGCGAACAAAGCGAAATTAAATCGCACGCGAACAATACCCGGAGTACAGTAAACAAACACAATTCGTCGTAAGTTTATTCTGATTTTATTACATATATTCGTTCATTTATGTGTACATACAATATAATAATTTAATACAAGCATATCCAAGTCATTGAAACTTATATATTCAACGCAATATCGAGTAAAAACATGCATATTGACAGTATTTTTCTGAATTTTTTTATTTTTTCGAATTTTTTTCTCAACTCGAATATGATTCGATTCATCAACTTCGACTCGATTCGACTCGAAGCCCCAAACCCGCGAGTCCTCGACTCATCGGGTTGTCGTCTCACCCCTATTAATTATGATATTACGATTTCATTTATAGATCGCAACTTAAAGATGCTACGTCAATGATGATCCACAATATCATATAGTGTTGTGGCTCCTGAAAATAATCATTATTAATTATGATATTAATACGATTTCATTTATAGTCGAGTTACCCTAATCAATAGTTAATCATGTTTAATAGTAAATAAAGATCGAAATGCTATACACATCATTAAGTTGCTCTTGCTCAAAAGAAATGTTTAAACATTAGGAAAACATATGTACTCTACTATGTGAACCAGCAAATAGATATACGTATATATGAAAGAAATGAAGCTATTGAACAAGAATCCTTGAAAAAATGATGTAATTTTTTTTTATTTATATATACCATCATCCATATAGGGCCATCCATGTTGACAAAGTCATGACACATATCAGATGTAAGAGATGACACTCCCACACACCAATAGAGGGAAAATAGCCACCTTCTATTTATTATGTACACATTCGTGCTGATGTTGTTCGCTCTGTACATTCTGAAATTAAAAATTTATTAAGAACATTGACTAATTTAATTGTATCATATACTGTACTCCCACTTATATTTGACCCTCTTATATTTTGTGTTTTTGGCATTTTGAAATAATGCTGCTATAAGATTTTGCTAATTTTCAGTTTTTTGAAATTTTCGCGGATTTGTCATACAAGATCACTCTTTCGACTTCGAACTGTTGGAATTTGATGGCTACTATATTTTGCGAATTTTCCAAATCTCGCGAAAAGCGGGAAATATAGTAGCGCGCGCAAATTACCAGGAGTACAGTAAATCCTTTCTATTTAGTGCAGATCGAGAGATAAATAGAATGATACCTACTTTATGCCTCAATGCATCAGAAAACATAATTATTTTACAAATTTAATTGATATAAGCAAGCATCATGAATTAAAATTTGCACTTACCTAATTGTATTATTGTTAGTAATTGTTTTGTATGAATCCACTTCCATTTCTGATAAAAATATTTGATTGAATGGTTCAGTAATTTTCTGTTTCTTTACAAAAATACAAAAAGAGAAATCAAATGTAAATTACTGAATATATACCTCAGATCATCTAAGCTAACATCGGCACTCTCAACGTTGACCATGTCTAGGTTGTTTCTCTTCATGTAGGATACAGGCATAGCTCCACCTTGTACTCTTACAAAGCCTGTACTATTTAATAGGCTATTATTCTGCCAGTTATCTCCATTGAGTAACATCCATACCTGAAATAAAACAGTTGTAATTCCACTTAAAATGATTATTATTATAGTAAATACTATCTACATGTGCATTTTCACAAGTAATATTTCATAGAAGCTGAAGAGCTAGAGGAATATTACCTTGAACTGTCACGGGTATTCACCAAAAATTAAATTAAATATAATATATATCCATTTTATAGTCAAGTTCACTATTCTAAACATCATCAATTCATGTTTTGACATAAATCTATATATTTACACACTCAGGATAAAAACTCTATTTATGTGTAATGATAATAATCTTGATCTACAGTGAATGAATGAAAAAAAATTGAAAATTCCTTGTGGGAGCAGTTAATATTAGTCACCAGGTCCGTAGCCAGGAGGGATTCGCAGGGTTCAGGCAAAACTTTCAAAATCAAGCAGGTTTTTTACCATTTTGAGCACTGCTCAAGTGATTTTAGCCAGAAAACTGAACACCCCTTGGCAAATCCTTGATACGGGCATGGTCACCAACCAATTTCGTTTGATAAGCAAGGCCAATAAATATCATCTGTTATCCCATGGTTGCAAGGATATAGATCGAATATCACATGAAGATATATTTGATATGTGGATGAAGATATCATATTTTAGCAAAAAATTCACAAACCATCGAATATCACTTTTAAACTATCGAATATCACGTCTTAGAAAGTGATATTCGATGGTTTGAAAAGTGATATTCGATGGTTTGAAAAGTGATATTCGATGGTTTCGAATTTTTTCAAAGAAAATTTCTTTTTACTTTTTTTAATTATTTTTTAAAATATTTCCAAAAAATTCAAAATTTCAAAAAAAAAATTCAACATTTTTACAAATTTTTCTCAAATTATATTTTTCAACTTTTTTCGCTGATGATGATTTTCCATGGGATAAACGGACAATCCTATGGTTTTTCAAAAATATCAATTATATCCACTCATGGATACAAATATCTTCACTCATTCGCTGCGCTCACTCATGAAGATATCAATATCCACTCATGGATATAAATGATATTTTTTCAAAACCATAGGATATTCCTATATTCTTTCATGACTTGTGACCCAATTTTGACCAATTATAACATACAGCTATCAATACATATCTCCAGGATCAACAAACTGAGTGAATTGAATTAAGTTAACAGAGAACAACAAACAAACAAAAACATTATGCAAGAGGTTAACATTGAAATAAAGTAGTACAATAGTCTTACATCATGCCATTGAGTACTTCCTATGGACTAGCATATCATCTTTCAGTGTTTTCCGCAGTTTATTTCATAAATACTTTTTTCAAATGAGCACAAATCTAACAAAAATCTCATTTCTGATCAATGTTGGACACAATATGCCAATTTTGCAGGACTCGTTTTTTCATGAGGCTCTAATTGAGTTTTCAGTTTTGTGCATTAAAAAAAAAAAGTTTTGTGCATTAGCCTATTTTCAAAATGTTAGGTGGGTGCAGTTCCCACCTGATTTAATGCTGGGAAATAACTGTACTGCTTCCTCCTCTAGTTGAGGAAATAGGAAATACTTAATAGACATATAGGTAGATGGGTACACCAGTGGCTTAATGATAGACTATTTTTAGTACTAAGATAAAATTAATATAAAACATTTACATCATCAATATACTTAATCTGCTGCAGCCACCACACCTTAAATTTACGACCACAAATATTTTTACAAAGACAGTTTATCATGCAAAATAGGTAAAGAACAAGTGCATGTAAAGGCTTCTCTAGTATCCAACTAAAATTGGTTACTCAAACTGATTAATGATAAACAGTCGTAAGCTGATTTTCGCAGGTCATCTGTAAACTAAAGTATGTGTCTTCAACAAGTAAATTTAAAGATACCTTTGAGAAAGTATAAAGCAACTTACCAGTAATAGCCCATACACTAAAGTAACTTACCAATTTGGGTTGAATGCCACTCTCTAATATTGCATGCAATGTCATGTTCATAAAGTAACTTACCATTTGGGTTGAATGCCACTCTCTAATATTGCATGCACTATTAGGTTTATAAAGTAACTTACCAATTTGGGTTGAATGCCACTCTCAAATATTGCATGCAATGTCATGTTCATAAAGTAGCTTACCAATTTGGGTTGAATGCCACTCTCTAATACTGCATGCAATGTCATGTTTATAAAGTAACTTACCAATTTGGGTTGAATGCCACTCTCTAATATTGCATGCAATGTCATGTTCATAAAGTAACTTACCAATTTGGGTTGAATGCCATTCTCTAATATTGCATGCACTATCATGTTTATAAAGTAACTTACCAATTTGGGTTGAATGCCACTCTCTAATATTGCATGCACTATCATGTTAATAAAGTAACTTACCAATTTGGGTTGAATGCCACTCTCTAATATTGCATGCAATGTCATGTTTATAAAGTAACTTACCAATTTTGGTTAAATGCCACTCTCTAATATTGAATGCAATGTCATGTTTATAAAGTAACTTACCAATTTTGGTTGAATGCCACTCTCTTATATTGCATGCACTATCATGTTAATAAAGTAACTTACCAATTTGGGTTGAATGCCACTCTCTTTTATTGCATGCAATGTCATGTTCATAAAGTAGCTTACCAATTTGGGTTGAATGCCACTCTCTAATATTGCATGCAATGTCATGTTTATAAAGTAACTTACCAATTTTGGTTAAATGCCACTCTCTAATATTGAATGCAATGTCATGTTCATAACGTAACTTACCAATTTGGGTTGAATGCCACTCTCTAATACTGCATGCACTGTCATGTTTATAAAGTAGCTTACCAGTTTGGGTTAAATGCCACTCTCTAATATTGAATGCAATGTCATGTTCATAACGTAACTTACCAATTTGGGTTGAATGCCACTCTCTAATACTGCATGCACTGTCATGTTTATAAAATAACTTACCAATTTGGGTTGAATGCCACTCTCTAATATTGCATGCACTGTCATGTTTATAAAGTAACTTACCAATTTGGGTTGAATGCCACTCTCTTATATTGCATGCACTGTCATGTTTATAAAGTAGCTTACCAGTTTGGGTTGAATGCCACTCTCTTATATTGCATGCACTGTCATGTTTATAAAGTAACTTACCAATTTGGGTTGAATGCCACTCTCTTATATTGCATGCACTGTCATGTTTATAAAGTAGCTTACCAGTTTGGGTTGAATGCCACTCTCTAATATTGCATGCACTATCATGTTTATAAAGTAACTTACCAATTTGGGTTGAATGCCTCTCTCTAATATTGCATGCACTGTCATGTTTATAAAGTAACTTACCAATTTGGGTTGAATGCCACTCTCTAATATTGCATGCACTGTCATGTTTATAAAGTAACTTATCAATTTTGGTTGAATGCCACTGTCTAATATTGCATGCACTGTCATGTTTATAAAGTAACTTACCAATTTGGGTTGAATGCCACTCTCTAATATTGCATGCACTGTCATGTTTATAAAGTAACTTACCAATTTGGGTTGAATGCCACTCTCTAATATTGCATGCACTATCATGTTTATAAAGTAACTTACCAATTTGGGTTGAATGCCACTCTCTAATATTGCATGCAATGTCATGTTTATAACGTAACTTACCAATTTTGGTTAAATGTCACTCTCTAATATTGAATGCAATGTCATGTTTATAAAGTAGCTTACCAGTTTGGGTTGAATGCCATTGTCTAATATTGCATGCACTGTCATGTTTATAAAGTAACTTACCAATTTGAGTTGAATGCCACTCTCTAATATTGTATGCACTATCATGTTTATAAAGTAACTTACCAATTTGGGTTGAATGCCACTCTCTAATATTGTATGCACTATCATGTTTATAAAGTAACTTACCAGTTTGGGTTGAATGCCACTGTCTAATATTGCATGCACTGTTATGTTTATAAAGTAACTTACCATTATGGGTTGAATGCCACTCTCTAATATTGTATGCACTATCATGTTTATAAAGTAACTTACCAATTTGGGTTGAATGCCACTCTCTAATATTGCATGCACTGTCATGTTTATAAAGTAACTTACCAGTTTGGGTTGAATGCAACTCTCTAATATTGCATGCACTGTCATGTTTATAAAGTAACTTACCAATTTGGGTTGAATGCCACTCTCTAATATTGTATGCACTATCATGTTTATAAAGTAACTTACCAGTTTGGGTTGAATGCAACTCTCTAATATTGCATGCACTGTCATGTTTATAAAGTAACTTACCAATTTGGGTTGAATGCCACTCTCTAATATTGTATGCACTATCATGTTTATAAAGTAACTTACCAATTTTGGTTGAATGCCACTCTCTAATATTGTATGCACTATCATGTTTATAAAGTAACTTACCAATTTGGGTTGAATGCCACTCTCTAATATTGCATGCACTGTTATGTTTATAAAGTAACTTACCATTATGGGTTGAATGCCACTCTCTAATATTGTATGCACTATCATGTTTATAAAGTAACTTACCAGTTTGGGTTGAATGCCATTCTCTAATATTGCATGCACTGTCATGTTTATAAAGTAACTTACCAGTTTGGGTTGAATGCCATTCTCTAATATTGCATGCACTATCATGTTTATAAAGTAACTTACCAGTTTGGGTTGAATGCCATTCTCTAATATTGCATGCACTGTCATGTTTATAAAGTAACTTACCAATTTGGGTTGAATGCCACTCTCTAATATTGTATGCACTATCATGTTTATAAAGTAACTTACCAGTTTGGGTTGAATGCCACTGTCTAATATTGCATGCACTGTTATGTTTATAAAGTAACTTACCATTATGGGTTGAATGCCACTCTCTAATATTGTATGCACTATCATGTTTATAAAGTAACTTACCAATTTGGGTTGAATGCCACTCTCTAATATTGCATGCACTATCATGTTTATAAAGTAACTTACCAATTTGGGTTGAATGCCACTCTCTAATATTGCATGCACTGTCATGCTTATAAAGTAACTTACCAGTTTGGGTCGAATGCCACTCTCTAATATTGCATGCACTCTCATGTTTATAAAGTAACTTATCAATTTTGGTTGAATGCCACTCTCCAATACTGCATGCACTGTCATGCTTATAAAGTAACTTAACAATTTTGGTTAAATGCCACTGTCTAATATTGCATGCACTATCATGTTTATAAAGTAACTTACCAGTTTGGGTTGAATGCCACTCTCCAATACTGCATGCACTGTCATGCTTATAAAGTAACTTACCAATTTGGGTTGAATGCCACTCTCTGATATTACATGCACTGTCATGTTTATAAAGTAACTTACCAGTTTGGGTTGAATGCCACTCTCTAATATTGCATGCACTGTCATGCTTATAAAGTAACTTACCAGTTTGGGTCGAATGCCACTCTCTAATATTGCATGCACTCTCATGTTTATAAAGTAACTTATCAATTTTGGTTAAATGCCACTCTCCAATACTGCATGCACTGTCATGCTTATAAAGTAACTTAACAATTTTGGTTAAATGCCACTGTCTAATATTGCATGCACTATCATGTTTATAAAGTAACTTACCAATTTGGGTTAAATGCAACTCTCTAATATTGCATGCACTATCATGTTTATAAAGTAACTTACCAGTTTGGGTCGAATGCCACTCTCTAATATTGCATGCACTATCATGTTTATAAAGTAACTTACCAATTTGGGTTAAATGCAACTCTCTAATATTGCATGCACTATCATGTTTATAAAGTAACTTACCAATTTGGGTTGAATGCCACTCTCTGATATTACATGCACTGTCATGTTTATAAAGTAACTTACCAGTTTGGGTTGAATGCCACTCTCTGATATTACATGCACTGTCATGTTTATAAAGTAACTTACCAATTTGGGTTGAATGCCACTCTCTAATATTGCATGCACTATCATGTTTATAAAGTAACTTACCAATTTGGGTTGAATGCCACTCTCTAATATTGCATGCACTATCATGTTTATAAAGTAACTTACCAATTTGGGTTGAATGCCACTCTCTAATATTGCATGCACTATCATGTTTATAAAGTAACTTACCAATTTGGGTTGAATGCCACTCTCTGATATTACATGCACTGTCATGTTTATAAAGTAACTTACCAGTTTGGGTTGAATGCTACTCTCTAATATTGCATGCACTATCATGTTTATAAAATAACTTACCAATTTGGGTTGAATGCCACTCTCTAATATTGCATGCACTCTCATGTTTATAAAGTAACTTACCAATTTGGGTTGAATGCTACTCTCTAATATTGCATGCACTATCATGTTTATAAAGTAACTTACCAGTTTGGGTTGAATGCCACTGTCTAATATTGCATGCACTGTTATGTTTATAAAGTAACTTACCATTATGGGTTGAATGCCACTCTCTAATATTGCATGCACTATCATGTTTATAAAGTAACTTACCAGTTTGGGTTGAATGCCACTGTCTAATATTGCATGCACTGTTATGTTTATAAAGTAACTTACCATTATGGGTTGAATGCCACTCTCTAATATTGCATGCACTATCATGTTTATAAAGTAACTTACCAATTTGGGTTGAATGCCACTGTCTAATATTGCATGCACTGTCAAGTTTATAAAGTAACTTACCAGTTTGGGTTGAATGCAACTCTCTAATATTGCATGCACTATCATGTTTATAAAGTAACTTACCAATTTGGGTTGAATGCCACTGTCTAATATTGTATGCACTATCATGTTTATAAAGTAACTTACCAGTTTGGGTTGAATGCAACTCTCTAATATTGCATGCACTGTCAAGTTTATAAAGTAACTTACCAGTTTGGGTTGAATGCAACTCTCTAATATTGCATGCACTATCATGTTTATAAAGTAACTTACCAATTTGGGTTAAATGCAACTCTCTAATATTGCATGCACTATCATGTTTATAAAGTAACTTACCAATTTGGGTTGAATGCCACTCTCTAATATTGCATGCACTGTCATGTTGAGGGCCTGGTCATAGTGTGGTGAATCACTACCCACTTTCAGATCAAACATTACGGTTTTACTATACTGAAAAATAAACCTTCGTGTTAGTAAATGAAATGATGACCAGTGTTTTCCTAGGATTATTTTCTGATATATCTGAACAAAATTTAAATCTTTATAATACTGACAGTTTCCAAAATATGCCAATTTGTCATGTTTTTTTCTTATATACTTGTGTGGGTGCAAATGGGGTTACCAGGAGGGTGCAAGTCTATAAAATCTCAAGTGAGTACAGCGTTTACTTGCTTAATGCCCAAATTTGAATTGCTTAAAGCTCATATAAATTCAATAAAAGATGTTCAGAATTGGGAAAGATAAATACTGTTAATTCAATCATTTTGACATAATAGTTTAAATTGTTCACCTCTGATAAAAAATTGTGTCAGTGCCTTAAAGGGATATTCCTTGCCAGATCATCTCTCTCCTAATATGGCAGCTATAACCACATATATACTTGACATGTTTAGAAAAACACAGAACTATGTTTTGATATAGTCAATATTGATCACATAAAAATGTAGCGCTCAATTCCAGTAGGCTGCCATCTTTTAAGATTTAACTCAGGAAGTGATGTCATCGACTCTCAACTTTCCATATAACATTAGGTAAGGAGTTACAAAACCAGCTGAATATTCTCTTTCAATTTTGCCTTTGATTTAATACTTCTAATAGTCTCTACTTTTATTCTAAGCTGACAAGCTCTGAAAATATTTTTGCACACAAAGTAAGGACCACTTGTCTAGAAGTGATTTTGTGCTACTTTCCTATACTGTTATAGGCAAGGTTATGAAAGTTGAGAGTCGATGACATCACTTCCTGAGTGAACTCTTAAAAAATGGCAGCTTACTGGATATGAGCACTACATTTTTAAATGATCCATATTGACTATATTACATTTTCCATGATTTGCTCAATATGGAAAGTACATATTGAATATAGCTAACATATCAGCATAGAAATGGTCTGGCCAGGAATATCGCTTTAAGATTGGCCTTAAAATTAAATATGGCACTCTGATATATCTCGTATAAGATGCCATTACAAGTTGCATAGAAACTCACATTTTTGGCTACTTCTAAGTACTGCTTAAATGTTGGAATGGTTTGACTTGAGTAGACTGCTTTCTGACCTTCATCTAGACTAGAGACACTGCCAAAGGGGTCTCGCTGAAATAATATGCAACCATTTTTAGACTTATTTATTTATTAGTAGTTAAATGATTTATTACAGTTTTTGTATCAAGGTTAACTTTTTATCACACAAAAATGTCCTATCTAATATTTATCCATGAATATACCTCTCGCAAATTTTTAGTGACAATTCTCCAGCCAAATAAGGACTTGTTTCATATTGTTTTCACAATCTTTCAAAGTATTAACAAATATTGATTTATAGTAATGCTAAATATTATTCAGCTCTCGTTTGTATATTATACAGGGTGGGCCAAAAAAACAATTCCCAAGTTTAAAGATGAAGAATTCACATGATATATGTTAAACCATGCCATATATTATATATAATTTTAAAGATAAATCATTTCCTAATAAAATTACACAATCTAATTGAAAAACATTTGGAGTGGAGGTTAAAATTGACACCAGGGGTGCCATGAGTGACCAAAAAACGAAAATTCTCAAAGGACGATTCTCGGTTTGGAGAACAGTCTCCTGAGCTAATAATTTTTTCATGAAAAATATAGAAATATTACCCAAATTAAACTAGGAATATTCAAAAGAGGACATTTAAATCTACAAGATGTAAAAATAACAAATTGGTCTGAAGCAGGGATAACGCTCAATAAAACCGATCCAATAAAATACAAGTCTCGATTTGGGGAAAGAAGTTCATCAGTGTACTGCGCTAATATTTTTTTGCGAAAAATCTAGAAATATTACCCAAATTAAAGTATGACTATTCAAAAGAAGACATTCAAATCTATATTATGTAAAAAAATCAAATTTGTCTGAAGCAGGGATAATGCTCATTTAGATTGATGAACTTCGTTCTCCAAACCGAGAATCGTCCTTTCTCTCCGTATTGCAGTCACAGTTGCACTCAATATGCTTTACTGAATCATCATGAATTTATTTAAGAGTAAAACACAATTCATAATTTATTAAAAATAAATAAGAATTATTGCTGAATTTTGCACTATACTTGTATAAATGTACCTCTTTTGAAGGTGCCAAAGTTCAAATTTCCCTCCATTTTCCATAATTTGGAAATCCGCAGTGAATAATTTTTTTATCGCTCATGACACCCCTGGTGTCAATTTTAGCCTCTAGCTCCACAAGAAAACAATGGCTTTTCAATCAGATAGCGTCATATTGTTAGGAAATGATCTTTAAAATGACATACAATACATGGCATGGTTAAACGTTATATCATATATAAGGTGCAACGAAGCCCATAGTGTTATCATGATGTGCTCATTGTATGATTCTTTAACTATGTTTGTACCTACTGTTAGGTCATTTATGCAGCCAATTTTATGGTGGAATATCAGTAAGAAAAGTCCTATTCTCAACAAACAATGTATCCTAATGTTCAAACTGCAAACACGTTGCTACCCATTTGATATTTGTGCTTTATGCCCTCTGTGCAGCAAAGAAAATGACACCATGGAACATTTCTTATTGCGTTGTGACGCACTTTCTCATGAGCGACATACACTTACCATGCTTTTAGAAAGTGAAGAGTGCCATACAATTGATGAAAAGTTGAGCTTCATTTTTGGTATAAATCATTTGAGTTTGGACCAGGAGAGCCTTGATTCTCTCTGTTCTGTTTCGATTAACATTCACTCTATGCATAGAGCCAGGGAGACAATGTTAAGGCATTTTAACTTTTTGTACCTGTAGCTTTTATATTACTCTTTTCTTTTACCTTATAGCATTGTATACCATGTAACTGTCTAAATGAATAGACGCAAATAAAGAATACATACATACCTACATCACATGATATCCATCCTTAAACTTGGGTATTGTTTTTTTGGCCCACCCTGTACATTCAATATATCTGCAATGGTTACTCACTATATCACATGATAATGAAAAACAAAAGTGCAATGTACCTTTAAGTACCAAGACCCAGCATTTAACTTTTCAATGTCAGACATATTAAAGGACCAGGCAGGGTTTCCACTCCATTCTGGGTAAAGTTCTTCTATATTGGTAGTACGCCGAAATGTCTGGTCATGTAGAAGAAATGGCGTACCATCAAAACTGAAAAACATGAAAAGGAAAGACAATACAGTAAAACATGTTTTAGTGGAATTTGGAGTATTCCACATTAAAGGTTCTATTGTAGTAAACCTTAAGAAAAGTATCGCATCAAGCCCAGGGTGCAACTTAATTCCAGCAGCTCAGAGTCAATAACTTTTCATATTGGCCTGTTTATTTTTCATCATGTATGGGGAAGAAATGAGGCACCTGGTCCACATTTCAACAATTTTTACAATTTTTAATTTGGATTTTTAAAACCTTATATATTGTCAAAACACAACATACCTAAATTGAACATCAGATTCTAAACCTAATATGTCATATTTTGCTGCCGTCTCCATGGCGACTAGAGTATTCTCAGGTGCAAGCTAGAACACATCATAAATAGATTTAATTATCATATAACTGACAATTTACTAATAGGCAACAGTTTTTCATAAAAAAAAAATTACAAACCGTTAACATGTAAGTGTCACCGTCTGATACAATCTGTCACAATATTGCCCCACATAAAAAGGTTACATAAAAAGGTTACATAAAAAGGTTACAATATGAATCGCATTTAATAATTAAACATTAACAGCAATTGTGATAGGGACAGTGAAAAAAGGGCCAGTAACTAAAAATGATCTTACATTGGCCTAAAATAAAAATTTAAGAGATTTACATTGCTTCCCCAAGAATACATCCCCAAAATGCAATCTGATTTTTGACGCCGTTTCGGTGCCAAATTTTGGTACAGTTTCGGCACCAAATGGACTGAGTAGTCCGGTAGCAAATTTTGGTGGCGAAAGGTTTCGGTGCCGGAACGGTGCAGGAACAGCACCAAATTTTTTCGATGACGAAATGGCGCCAAATTATATTGGCCTTGTACTCTCCTCATTTATGTTACTTACAGCAGATGCTCCACGATGGGCCATGACACCAGGCTTAGGGGGTAGGAGTTGCCTATGTAGTACACATGGGGACTGGACTAGTAATGGACTTATGTATATCTATGTTACTTACAGCAGATGCTCCTGCATGGGCCATGACACCAGGCTTAGGGGGTAGGAGTTGCCTATGTAGTACACATGGGGACTGGACTAGTAATGGACTTATGTATATCTATGTTACTTACAGCAGATGCTCCTGCATGGGCCATGACACCAGGCTTAGGGGGTAGGAGTTGCCTATGTAGTACACATGGAGATTGGACTAGTAATGGACTTATGTATATCTATGTTACTTACAGCAGATGCTCCGCGATGGGCCATGACACCAGGCTTAGGGGGTAGGAGTTGCCTATGTAGTACACATGGGGACTGGACTAGTAATGGACTTATGTATATCTATGTTACTTACAGCAGATGCTCCTGCATGGGCCATGACACCAGGCTTAGGGGGTAGGAGTTGCCTATGTAGTACACATGGGGATTGGACTAGTAATGGACTTATGTATATAATCAGCATAAGTCCTATGTACACAACCATCCAGATAACTTGCCAAACTACAATACAGAATAAACATACAGAGAAAACTGTATAAAGTGTTAGTAGAACAATTTTATGAGTACCAAGACCAACCAAATTAATGTTAAGTGGAACAATTTTTAGAGGTACCAAAGGTGTTTCACTTAGACAGGTTTAACTGTACATACTAAAATGAAATAGAGATCCAACACACGTAACGTGAATTATGACTTAATTCTGCCTCTATAGGTGACCTTGTGATACACTTTATTTGGGCAGGAACTAGGCATATAACATGGCAAAGATACATAACTGATGTATAGCATACCTTTATTCATGTGGTAACATTCTTTTGATGATGTCACGCATCTATGAATAATCAGAATGGTTGGAAATGGAAAATCGTATTACAAGGTCAACATGCCGGAAGTAAAAGAGGAAAAAGTAAGTTGTAGGATTTCATTCATGTATAATCAATGTCGTTTTTACTATCCACTTTTTTCTAAAATAATCTCAATAAACCAATATAGTGAATGCCAGGATCGTCCTCAAACTTTCAAAGTTACCTTTTTTATTTAAGAAAACCCAGTGTGACGCTATGAGCCAAGTTAAACAAGTCATGGCTGCAACACATCCTAGCTGTAGAAATGGCCAAAACATCTGCAAAATATGAATACAGTAAAACCTGTGTATAGTGAACATTTTTTTGCCAAAGAAAAATGTTCACTATTGGTAGGTGTTCACTACAGCAAGGATTTGATTTCGCGGCATTTTGCCATATTATATTTAAGAGACCAGTTATTAAACGAGCCTAAATAATAGAGGAGGGAATAACTGATTTAATTTGTATTTTATACCTATGATAACCCATGACACTTGCAACAATTGCAATTTTTGTTTTTTTTGTTGTGTTATACAAACTTACTTATTTTAGACTGCCTGAATGGTTCATCCTTTTATTGTCAAATTTTAATCTCTTCATAATTCTTTAAATAGTGGAATTCTTAACACATTTGAGTCAGTTAAAGGATTGAATTAATTAAACTACAAGATGGAGTCAGTTAAGAATGATGTTATAATTTTAACCTTATCTGGTTTTTAAAATGATGGAGATGAGAAAAAGATTTAGTTGGGACTTGGCAGATAGAGATAGAGGTAATAATAGTTAACCAGATTATCTCCAATTAAAGCAATCAATGCTTCTAGACACTGCTAAACACATATCCTGCCTTACAAAAACAAAGCTTACTAAGAATTATAATTAGTCACACCTGTTTCAATACAAGAGATCAACATCTAAAATTGACCTTTTAATAATTATTTTTGACAGGTAATATAAACATTAACTGCTTAACTCTGATAAGGCAGTTGCAGAAAATCCGCAAGAAATCTTATGTATCAGATTCAATGTTCACTAGAGACAGGATAATTCAATTAAATTTGCCAAGATTTAATGTTCACTGTTCACAGTAGGTAGGTGTTCACTATAGGATTTACTTTAACATGGGAGTCAATGGGGGAAAAAAGTTTTGCCGAAAAAAAATGTTCACTGTTGAAAGGTGTTCACTAGAGAGATGTGTTCACTAACTCAGGTTTTACTGTAATGATGTAGCAATTGTATATGATAAGTTCAAGTTACAAATCCAATTACTAAATTCCATTGAAAAATGTAAAGCATCTTAAGTTTAATTTTTGAAAACCGTAAAAAAAAATCTGCTCTCCGGAAATGAATAACATGGCTTTAAATTGTGACATATTAGAGAGGTATAGCACAATGTGTTTTGCCAAAGGACGATTCTCGGTTTGGAGAATAGACTCCTGTGCTAATAATTTTTTTCATGAAATATATAGAAATATGACCCAAATTAAACTATGAATATTCAAAAGAGGACATTTAAATCTACAAGATGTAAAAATAACAAATTGGTCTGAAGCAGGGATAATGCTCAATTAGACAGATTCAATAAAATACAAGTCTCGATTTGGGGAAAGAAGTTCATCAGTGTAGTGCGCCAATATTTTTTTGCGAAAAATCTAGAAATATTACCCAAATTAAATCATGACTATTTAAAAGAAGACATTCAAATCTATATTATGTAAAAAAAATCAAATTTGTCCGAAGCAGGGATAATGCTCATTTAGATTGATGAACTTCGTTCTCCAGACCGAGAATCATCCTTCATCTAGAATCTGAAACATATTCACCAGATTTATGCGTCTTAGTTCAATTAAAACGAGGTACAGAAATGTTTATAACCCATTGTGCAAAATCTCTGTATTGAAAGTTCTAATAGGAGTTACGTACCAGGAAACTGAGTTGAAGTATGGTCCACTGAGGTTTCCACATGAACTCTAATATGATGACAGTTACTAGGCAACAAATGAATATAGCAACTGTCATTGCCTTGTGGCAATGGTGCATATAAACCTGCTGGTTTGTCGCTATGTGACATAACGCCAACAGCTGAAATACATAGAGAAGAATATGATTCCCATATCAATGTGTTTAATTTGGAATAGAAATACTACATACAGGTTTGAGTACATTCTTTTATAGCAAAATTATATGGATTCAACATCGATGACATCAATAGATGGCAGTATTTAATGACAAGAATCATATTGACAACTTACCATGACAAGCACCACATACGAAAAAGTGGCGATGACAAAACCCATCACAATGCTGTACCATGGAATCCATGACCCTAGCTGTTGATAAATAAACCTAAAATGCATTTTAACAAAATTACAAAATGAATGGAAATACTAACAGGCATATTTTATGTTAGAACATTTGTGAGATGATGAGGATCTGTTTCTGTATGAGCAAAAGTACAACTAGAATATGTTTTTTTCCATCTGTTTTTATAACACTTGTGTTTACATACTACAGTATAGGTTGTATACAATGATCATTTATTGGTGTACATGTTTCATTAGCAGCCAGTCAAAGTAGAATGACTACTGGGCACATGTACTTACTGAATGCCCTGTATCCACAAAATTAACTAACACGTAAATTATATCATGTATTTAATTGAATGATCAGTACTTACCAATTAAAATCATTGAAGCCGTTGCGTGCAATCAGCCAATAGTAGAAAATAAACACCATAAACAGGAATGTTGCGACAAACAGTATGAACCAAGCCAGGTCATGCTGAAACCAGAAAACAGTATTTAAATAATAATAATCTCAAGTATCAGGAGTAAGTACAGTGCAAATGTTGTCCATATGCAACCATGTCAGGAATCGTCAATTATATTCTGATTGTATGTACAGTGTATTAAGTACAGGGATATGAATGTGCTTGCATCAATTCGGGCTCATAATCATTGAAATACGTACCCTGTGAGTATGGTTGGTCGACTGCTTATATCTATGCCATCTGCCACCAAACAGTCCAGTGATGCATAACATGCAGTAGTTACGCTCATAGTGCTGGAGTCGAGTGTGACTAACCATAACTACAGAATCTTTATGATGTTAGATATTGAAGGACTAATAAGTCAAGAATGTTCCTCTTTAAAAACAGATAAAGGCAACACAAGGTGATATCTACAGGAAGGCCTCCCGTTGTCATCGAATTTTCCAAAATGTCAATGCTATTACCTTTCTGTGGTGGTGTGGTTCAGATATTTATAGCATATAAACTGAGAAAGTTTCAGTTGAAGCACATGTAACTGTAAAAAAGAAATAGTTTCGAAAGTTTGTGCCTTTACTACATGTAAGTCTACAGTTTTGTATCACGATTGAACATTCAACTTGGATATGTGAAGAAGCCAGCAAATACACTGTAAGTTCTACTCATCTTCCCAATATATCAGGTTATTTCTTCAGCCATTATAAAACAAGGTGGGCAGGAAAAGTAGTATACGGATCACAACCAGGAAGTTTTTGAACCTGAAAAATGTTAGAAAAAATGTCATTCAATTTCAGAAATATTTTTTTACTTTTACATTGTGGTGCGATGAAAATGAGGAATCGTTCGCACATTTTATGTTCCAGGGTGAAGAACTATTAAATTTTCTTGGTATTTTACGTTGAAATGTGTTAAAGTAGCTTAGTACAGGACAACTAAAGTAATTTACAAAACAAAAATAAACGAACCTGGCTTTTACAGCTTATATGGCGACTCATTTATATCGATATTTTCGTATCAATTTATACTATCGTTAATGCTTCCTCTTTATCTTGCACTTTATGTAAATTAGTACCAGAAATACCTATTACAATTATTAAGTCTAATAAAACATTGTTTATGTTATAATTGTATTGAATTATAAGATCAAGGTATAAATTACGTCATTTGTTTACACCCTGCTTTCGTATTTTACTTCTACGACACTTCAAAAGATCTCCACTTTGTTCAGAGTTTTTCAGCTGTAATACGACATCATCTGTCAACTGGACATGCATTGATACTGTCGGTAAGACTTGGTTTATCAATTACAATTACGATTTGCCCATAAGAATGAAGAGAACTATTATAAAATGTTCTGATAAAACCCCAAAAATTTTAAAAATGGTGGGTGATAATTGGCCTAGATTCACAATCTTAATTTTCATTTAGGCTACTTTTCCTTCCTTCGGCATTTTAAATTGTTAATTTTGGATCCGCAGAATTAGTCTTATCGTGTCAGAATAGTTTACAAACAACATTATAATAATAAACGCCCAGTGATACAATGTGATGAACTACAGGTGTAGATCTACATGTAGTTCATTCATCACCCCATATTCTTATGATTCATAAAATTGTTTATTCTTAATCATTAGATCATGACTTTATTCATTCTGCATGGGATGATGAAATGTGAGTAGACTTCTGTGAAAATTAATGTGCAGTCTCATATTTTTTTCAGTTTTCTCATAAGGTGGTCTCAGAATTGAGTGGAACCTTTTGGCACCAATAAGATCTTAGACAAGAAAATATAAGACAGTGAACAACTTAATTTGATGTCTTTTGGTAGAGATATTGACTTCAAGATGCATAAAGTATTCATCGGCTGGGAGACATTGGACATGAATGAACAGGCAAGTGTTTTTACGACTACATGAACACTACTTGTATGTACATGTACATGTAAAATGGGAATAGATTATGGGCTTTCTCTTTTGGAAGCCAATGAATAGATGTACAATGTACATCCTGCAGGATTTACAGTTTGTACTTGCTCTTTGATAAAATGTATTGTCAATGAGCTTATTAAAATCATGGGCTTTCAATTAGAGAAAGCCCATACTAAAAGTGAATGAGAATACATGTACATGTATAAAACAATGTGAATGGTACTTTATGGTATGTGTACATTGTACAAGTCTTTTTAAATGCACTTCAGGCTAATAATTTTAGTATTACACTATTTCAGGCTGTCGTCTATAATAACGATGGAGAAGGTCGTGTTGAAGAAGGTCCAAAACGGGTAAAAACAGTTAATTAATTACTTTTGTATATCTAGCCTATAATGTACGTGATGAAATTATGATATTTTAAACAATACATACACTGTAACATAGATTAAATCTACATGTACATAATAAAAATACCACATCTGCTGCCTCAGTACCTTTAGTAAAAACACATGGTTAGGGATTCTGTTACCTTTTTGAGGGATAGCAATAATTTGCATAATATAAACACCTGCATATAATGAAGACAAAAATTCTGCATAATTGTGATCATAACTTGATTGCATTTTTCATTTCAGTTGTTTTTATTTCGAGAAAAGTTTGTTCCATTGTCAAGATACACTGCTGACCAAAACCACTACCTTCAGGTTAAGTACAGGAATGGCACAATAGAACATATTCGTGGGTAAGTCCCTTACCTCTTGAATCCCAGGTTCAAAAATCGGTTGAAGAGAATTGCTCATTTTAGTAAAATTAGATGGCAAAGATCATCTCTAGACATTTTAAGACAATTTTTGTGTAAATTGGATGAAAATTGTTCAAATAAGAGCAATTCTAGTGAGTTTTCTTGTCACACTGGGTAGTCAAGGGTTTAAGGTCACTGTCACTTAATATTTTACACACTGTAGTCTTTGGAACCCCTTCAACAATCACATTTTATTTGATGAACAAACTACAATGTGCAAGCAGCTGAAGTTAATCAGCACCAAGAAGTTTGAATTGGGCACATTATCAACTATTCAGCTGCGGTCTCATGAGGAAAAATCTTACCCTACATAAGACTTACATATCTGTATGACAGATCTATGAAAAAATTATAAAGTTTTCCTTTCAATAGAAAATGCTACTTTATCAAAAATGTATATTATCTAGTACATCTCTTATGACCACCCTGTATATAATTCTCCTCTGTCTTATTTTCAGTCCATGCCTTATATACAAGAATCCACTTGAGCATGACAGTATTAAACTAGAGAACAACATCTCACTTGATGCTAATGAAGTTCTTGTGATATACCAGAGAGATGAGACTACAGGCGCTGTAAGGAGATATCTACAACATGGACCTACAATGTTCATACCCCAAGCGAATGAATGGTGAGTATGGTACATTACCATTGTTAGCTATTGAAGTCATGGTACCATTTACACTCCCGGCCTTCATAAGTCTTCAAACTAAAATTTTCAGTTGCCAATCTTATGGAGAGGGGTGTATTTATGAATAATGAAATAGACAAAACTTAAATGTGATCAGTTACTTATTCAAAAAAAACTTCAAATCTATGTCACCACTTCAACGTGACTATAGTGTTATTATTTATAACTCAAGATAAATATTTATAGAAATACACAGCTTTATTGATCACTCCTTAAGAATCCAACTTTATCTATTACATCCGGGCAATTAGGCCTTGAGTAAGGCTGGTAGCTTAAAACCTTTGACATGACATGCATTACTATGGAAACACATTACACGACAGCGACCTTAAGGTAGGCATTAAAGAATGTGTGCTTAATTCAATGGTCTCAAATGGAATTAACCCGAAGGGCGAAGACCCTGAATTTTTATGTAATCACTAGAAGCAATGGCATATTGTTATATAAGTCTCCAACTTTTTTGTGGATGGTGTTAGGCTTCTGTAAGAAATAGCAGGTGGTGACATTTTGCATGTTAATGCCTTGTTCTCTGACATTATCATTACTCTTTTGATTTCAGGCTTCACAAATTCTGCTGGCATGGTGTTGACCCTAACAATAAAACAAGACTTCTACCTCACTCTAATACTTTCTCAAAGTTAAAAGTCATACCCGATCAATTCTATTATAATGTAAGTACTGTTACTGTTTCTCAAAGTTAAAGGTCATGCTCAATCAATTCTATTAAATTGTAAACACTCTAAAACTTTCATAAAGTTAAAGGTACTAAATCCATCAAAACATTTGCGTTCCAACAAGAGACACCCATGGTAAGCTACATGTAAGTATGAGGAAAAAAGACAGTTCAACTTGATTTTCTTTACAGATTCATTAAAAGTTCATTAAAACAAAAACAAGTTTTAAGTTCCCACTGGGAGAGTTCGAATAGAGTTTTGGCCTTCCATAAAAAATAAATGTCACATTTTCTCTGTTCAGGAAAATTATTGAAATTGTTAGATTTCAAAATCAAATGTTCCAAACCATTCTGAATAACTTCCTTTCCATGAGTTGTGTTATTGCTTATAAGTTGACATTTGCATTTGAGTTGACTCTTATTTGTTTAATTGTAAGGTTGACGAAGTGAGAACAGCTGATGATGCCCTTATTAGGGTGAAACTCATGATATTCTATGAGCTGACAGATATTGAACAAATGGTGAGGATTTTATTTTTATCCCAATACTTAGAGTTCCACTTGTTTGTGGTTTTATTTCAAAAAAGTTATATTTTCAACATTAATATTTTCTTTGGAAAATGTTAATATCCCAAACATCATATTGGATAATCTCTTTATATCATTGGTTCACAAATATAAAGTATCTATTTTAAATATTGTTGTACTTTAATATTAAGTTAAGTTTTTCATTGCATGCATTAGATTTTGTACTTCTACTGTCTTTATTTTTATTTTTTAGCTTAACTCAACACAAGATCCTATTGCAGACTTTGTAAAGTAAGTAATATTTATACCATTTTAAATTGTACAATATCTACTGTATGTACATGTATCTGTGTGTTTATGGAAGAAAACAACTTTAAATACTTGTATATGTTATTGAATCCCTCAAGTTTTTTTGGAAAAATGACTTTAATTAGATTTCTTGGAGTAATTGTTTGGCAAAGCTATGAGAAAAATTAATCATGACAGTTTCAAGGTATCACTCTCATGCTTCAACAAGAGGAGTATTTGTTGGTAGTTCTTGGCCATGGATTGAAAATTAGATTACTTTAGATTATTAAATGCAATGAACGTCTTTCCAACATTATGTCCTTTAATTTTCGCCTTTTGCATTGTTCCACAGCTGGATGACTCAAACTGCAGTTAGTATCATCCAAGATGGTGCCCAAAATTCTTTCATTTTCGCTAAACCAAGGATTTCAGCTAAACTAAGTTGAATCTGGATTCCAAATGTTTCGCCGTGTAAACTAATAAAGTTATAATTGTAGACAGTCACAAGAAAACTTTCAAGAACCCCCGATATTGGAGAAATTTAAAGAAAACAGCCTCACTTACAATGACTCTAACTGAACTTGATGATGTGTCATTCCTACCATCATCAAGTTCAGTTAGAGTCATTTGTGAGTGAGGCCATTTCTCCAATATCACAGGTTTTTGAAAGTTTCCTTGTGACTGTTTACAATTATAACCTTATTAGTTTACATTGCGAAACATTTGGAATACATGAGATTCAACTTAGTTTAGCTGGAATCATTGGTTTTTAAAAAATGAAAGAATTTTCACCACCATCTTGAATGATACTACAGTAACTGCAGTTCGAATCATCCAGGTGTGGAACAGTTTTTTGGGGATACATATTCTTTATAATATGAACCTGAATTCCTTATTTGAAATGATGTTTTCTTTTCAGTTGTGTATGTGCAGATGTCATTGCATTTTCTTCAAAATTGACGTAAGTTCAGTCAGTATTTAATCATAAATCTCGCTTTCTATTTCTTGATACCTTTTTCACATAGTTGTCCCATGAATGTTCACCTCTCTGGTTTCAAGTCACAGAATGTACGTTTTCCTCATATGTTATGAATTTTCAATGAATAAACTTTAAATACTAATAAAAATATCTCTCAGAAAGAAAATAGCTTTTTTTTGTTGTTTTCATGTCACCAGAAGTGGAAGGGACTGTATATCTTTAGTCTCACACTTTTTTGTGGACGCGGTTTGGTGGTTTGTGACAATAACAAATGGCAGGTTGTGACATTTCATGTTATTGCCTTGTTTAATTATTCTCATGGTATTTCATTGTTTAAATCGACTCTATGCATATTTAGCTAACTTGATCCTTCATTTGACACCAAAAACAGCTCCAAGCTCATTTCATCCGTTTTTCTTCAAAAATATGCATAGTGCCTGTTTAAGTAATGAGTAATTTTCATTGTTTTAACTTCATGACTTTCATTGTTTTAGTTACATGGAATTCATAGAACTCTCAGGCGAACTTAACAATCTCACCAACTACCCACAGCTAAAAGCAAGGTCAAAGGCCATCGGCTATGAAATCTCCAAGGTCGTATTCAGAGGTTACTATGCCAGTGAGAAACTTCAGAAGTTGCATGATAACGCAATTGCTGCCAGAACTAAGCTAAAAATGGCTGTAAGTATTGTTTATTTAAGGAATAAAGACTGGGAAGACTGGCCACTACAGTACAGTATACCTGTATATGATCAAAAATGTTATTCTGTTCATTGTTAAAAGACCGACATTGTGTATCGATTGAGGTCTTTGGCCATGGGCAGAATAACATTTGTGGTCATATATTTGACATAAATGATAGAATCAAGGTCTTTGTAAACGATTCTAATATGATAAACACCTTAAAGGAACATTTGCATTCACGAAACTTAGTGATCAAAGACCAAAATATAGACCATATCCTTTGACCTTGACATGCAAAGTTTTAGTGGTACAGTATGTATACAATTATAACATTAAATTACGGAAAATGAATGTGTTTACAATGCCTAGTGCATTATGCAACTTGTGGGGAATTTGTTTTTATTCTGAATTTGAAAGAGAATCAAGAAACCTGAGTATTGAAGTGATCGCTTGATTTTAATTCAAAAGGAAACTTACATTGTAGATATATGACTACCCCTGTATCTATTTTATCTATCTCACGATTGGCCTCATCGTCCATAGATAAATTGAAAAGGGATGTTATTTCTTATAGTTTGAAAGGGAGGAACAGGAGCAGTTACTAACAGATATGAAGTTAAATGCTGACACTGAGAGAATCTCAACTGAACAAAAGATGGAGCTGGAATCTATCAACCACATACATGAAATGGAAAGGTACAATAACAGTATAGCATATTTATAATACTTTTGTTGCTGGTTTGGTTCATCTTTCATTCTCTCAGTGTATTTTATAATTTTGGTGACACCATTATCAAAAAGAATGAAGTTTAATAAGGATGTAGTGAAGTCCTCGAGAAATATTTGATATCTAGGATATGTTCATGTTATTATGAACTGAATTTATTTGCTACTTCAAATAAAAAAATCTTATTTTTGTCTCCCAGAAAGGAACAAGAGCATAGTCTGGGAATTGAGATGAAACAATTCCAAGGAGAGATGTCAAGATTGGAACAAGACCAAAAGGCAACCATACAGGTAGACTATCATATTTTTGAAATTTTCAAAAATGCTTCTTGGCACTCAGATCTAGAGCAACTTTTATTAGTTTCTTAGCATGCTGAGAGCAAGGTTTACTTTCTTTCCCATGTACACTTCATGTAATTACAAACTTCTAAGAGCTGTAAACTGTTAAACTCTAAGAGCTTCAAACAATTAAACTGTATTGTTGTTATTTATGAAATCTTATTAAGGATAATATTGACAATAATGAGCACCCTGACTGTAGCAAATAGTTTTTTTAAAAATGTTCTCCCTCGCTACAACCAATGAGAAATCAATCACGCCTACTGATAAACAATATGTTATAAGACAGAGTCTACAAACATAAAAGTTGACCTCTGTTTAATCAATTCTTGTTACTGTTTTGTGACTTGCATTATTTAGGCATTTATCATTGTAGTTTATAACACATGGCTTAAATTTTTTGTCATTGCAACAAGGGGGTTACATCTTTGAACCTTAACATAATTGTATGTATTGATTCCAGATGAAGGGGGAAATGAACAAACAAAAAGTAGAGCATTATACTAATCTGAAAACAATGGGGGTTGATCTAACAGAGTTTGTTAAACAACAAGCTGCAAGACCTCAGAAACTTATACATGTCTCAGCAGAGAATAATGCAGCTAATTTACATTTGCATCAGTAGCTAATTTACATTTGCATCAGTAGCTAATTTACATCTACATCAGTAGCTAATCTCCATCTACATCCATAGAGAATGCAGTTAATTTACATCTACATCAAAGGAAACTGCAGCTAATTTACATCTACATCAATATAAACTGGAGGTAATTTACTTCTTCATCCGTAGCTAATTTCCATCTACATCCATAGAGAATGCAGTTAATTTACATCTACATCAAAGGAAACTGCAGCTAATTTACATCTACATCAATATAGACTGGAGGTAATTTACTTCTTCATCCGTAGCTAATTTACATCTACATCCATAGAGACTGCAGCTAATTTACATCTACATCAAAGGAAACTGCAGCTAGTTTACATCTACATCAATATAGACTGGAGGTAATTTACATCTACATCAATATAGACTGGAGGTAATTTACATTTGCATCAGTAAAGATTGCAGCTATTTTACATATACATCAGTAAAGACTGTAGCTAATTTACATCTACATCAATAAAGACTGCAGCTAATTTACATTTGCATAAGTAAAGATTGCAGCTATTTTACATATACATCAGTAAAGACTGTAGCTAATTTACATCTACATCAATAAAGACTGCAGCTAATTTACATTTGCATTAGTAGAGACTGCAGCTAATTTACATTTGCATAAGTAAAGATTGCAGCTATTTTACATATACATCAGTAAAGACTGTAGCTTATTTACATCTACAGCAGTAAGTACAATGCAGATAACTTACATATCTAGTTAAACCTGCATAGCAAAGTACCTCTCTAGTCTGAACACTTCTCAATGTGAACACTTTCTAATGTTTCTAGTTGTTACCTCCCATTGACTCACATACTTCAAAAACTTTCAAATATGAAGACCTCTTAATCCAAACACTTTTGGCTGGTCCCAATGGCGTTTGGATTAGACAAATTTTACAGTAAAGACTGTACAGCTTATTTTAATCTACTCATATCAGCAAAGAGGAATTGGAGTTCAGTTGCAATGACTGTGCTTGTATACATGTATACTGTGCTTTCCTAACAATGAAATCACAATGGTGCAGCACATCAAATGTAACACATAAACGCCGTTTTAATTATTCAAGGTACCTCCTAAAATGTTGCACTTCATATACATTTGAGTTCAGTTGCAATTACTGTGCTCGTGCTCTCCTAACAATGAAGTCACAATAGTGCAGCACACAAAATGTAACACATAAACGCCATTTTAATTATTCAAGATGCTTCATGTTGCACTTCAAATACATTTGCAGCTGGTTTGCATCTTGAGAGATTAAACCAATGCTGCTGTTCTACATCCAGCTTACATACACATGCATCTTGGATATGTACAAGAACAAAACAATAGTTTACATTTTTGAATGTATTACTATGAAGCTGACTACAGGGTAAATCATGTAATTTTTTACATTGATATGTTAGAGTCCAGTATTACAAACCTGATGTTTATTGCATATTCAAATATACATTTGTGATATTTTGTGCATTTCAATGCATACAAGATATGTGCAGTTACTAACTGTTTATTCTAGTACTTCAGTTAAGGCTAGCTGTTTTTCAGCTTACCTGTTTGATGATATATTTTGTGTGTAATGTGTATTTCTCAATCTTATTATATTGATACCATTATGATATTAAATAGTTATATATTGATATACATTGTGGCATCGTCTACAGGGTGTCAAATAAATATGCCCCTCCCCTTTAGCTTGAACATCCACATAATGTTGCATAGTTTTTGTCTGCATGATATCTGAAATTTCTTCAGCACATCAAATGTAGGCTTAAGGGAGCAACTCCCTTAGTTTCAAATGACTAGCTCAACTAAGGTACATGTACAAAATTTCGTACTTTTGAAATTACGGGGGGGGGAGAATATAATTATATGACAATATTATATGATTATATATAAATGATTATATATAAATTGAAAGATGCCATTTTCATATTATTATAATAAAACAAATAATGTGTCCAATACCTGTGATATTCAATGTCGTTTTTTATTCTCAGAGATTTTTAATTAATTATACAGGAATGTACCAGGTGTCCCAAAAGGCTCAGCCGCTTTTTGACAACTATTCTCTTAGCGATAGAACATAGGACTTGAACATTTTTATTGAGTAACTATAAGGTATCATTATCAAGTGCAATCGTGAGATATCACAGCCTTCTCTCAGTTTCCTTCTTGAACATTCTTGGGCATGGCAGAGATGGTCTGAGTTTCAGATTGAGCCATTGCTATAAATATGAATGAGATCATTAGTTAATTACGTGAATATTGTCAAATCAAGAACACCATTCCAAGATATCCAATATCAATGGAAAAGTCACTTATTTCAGTCTGAAAGAAGCTTTTCTTCCAAGCAGAAAATGTACTACGTTATTCTTCCAACGAATAGCCACATTGCATGACATAATGCATATCGGATGAAGTACCCTAAGCCTACTTTCTAGGAAATTTCGTTGATTCTATTGCTGAGAAAATGCAGTTCATTTATTGGGACACCCAATATTTACAACATATACTTTAAGTGATGATTTACATGTTGGTTACTTTTTCGGTACCGATATTTAATACGATTTATATTATTTGTGTTAATTGTACAGGGTGACCGGAAAAAAAGGAGACCACTGAAATAGGCAATATCTCCTAAACTAGACTAGTGACATCAATGAAATTTTGCATACATCATGACAGTCCTATGGAATTATGTTCCTGAAAGTGTCAATACAACCAGTCAACTGGTTCAGGAGCTATGATCATTTACATAACATGCTCCAAATAGGCGCAATTGAGACCAACGCAGAACTGGATACATATGGCAAATACCCTTACATATTCAGACCTTGTTATGGCATTACATTTAGCATTTATTGCCTTCTTTAGGTCAGCAATTGTCTCAGGATTGTTTTGGTACACATTGTCTTTCAAATTGCCCCACAAAAAGAAATCAGGTGGATTCAAGTTTGAGGTGTATGGAGACGAAAGTTATCTGACCTATGGCTTCTGACTCAGTGGTCCCACTCAGTTACAGTATCATCCTAAGGAGGTTTTGGGCAGCCCTTGGTTTCCATATGGGATTTAATTGTGCCATATAGTGGTTTTAGTAACATGGCACTATGCCCAATACCTAAAGAGACTCTTAAGATTGGGTAAATCAGCACTTTGGCAACAGGATGATGAACCACATGTCAGATAACCCTTCATTGCCATACAGCCTAGACTTGAATCCTGCTGATTTCTTTTTGTATGGATATTTGAAAGATAATCTATACCAAAACAATCCTCAGACTATTGTTGACCTAAAGAAGGCAATTACTGCTATATGTAATGCCATAATAATGCCATAGAGGGCAGAACATGTAAGGGTAGTTTGCCATATGAATCCAACTCTGCGTTGGTCTCAATTGTGCCTATTTGGAGCATGTTATGTAAATGATCATAGCTCCTGAACCAGTTGAATGCTTGTATTGAAACCTTCAGTAACAAATTTCCATATAACTGTTCCAGTGTATGCAAAATTTCATTGATGTCACTTGTCTAGTTTAGGAGAAATTGATTACTTCAATGGTCTCCTTTTTTTTCCGGTCACCCTGTACAATCGTTTTACCATACAAATAAACCAAAATATATACTGTAATACATACATGTATTTAATTTAATTTGTAAATAAATATTTAATCATTATCAACAAAAGGGTCTTAACTTAGACTTAGCTTATTATGGGTGTGTACGTGTAATAAAGTTTGATAAACTGCGTCATTTAAAGGTAACAAATATTAACACGCAAACCACGTTTTTAAAATACAACAAAACATTGGAATCAATCCAGTGCCATATCTAGGCAAGGAGTAGACAAGGCCCTTTAATAATCCAATAAAAAACTGTTGGACAAGATGGCAGATAATGGAGTTAAATTTGGCCAATTTATTTAAAAATATGAGCCTATTGTTCAACCAATTTTTTTTAATTCTGTTTCCTCCAAGAATGAAGACTGTAACAATGTCGAGCACTGAACCTTAAATGGCTGCCTCTAATCCACTCTCCCATCCATTCAAAACACACAAACTTGTTCAAAATTGACTGTGACTTAACCAATGCTATTTAGGACAGTATTTAAACCAGAAAGCATATGCCACAGCGTAAAATACTATTACATTAACATAACGGCTATAGGTATAGTGGAACTACGCTAGGTATCGTACTGCAGATAGCACCTCGCAATTAATCTTATACAACTAGCTTATCTAAGCTTGGAATTGAAGTCATGTATAATGTTCTTACGTTTGCATATAAGTACACATACACTGAAATAAAATTAGTTTTTTGAAAATCTTAAATACTGTTATGGTAATTTTAGATACAACTGTTATTTGTTGCAAGGGCACAGCGATCAAGGTGACTTTTTATTTACCGCGGTTGTGCATAGTTGAGTACTATCACATTGATTATGATAAGTGACTATCCGAGGACGAACAGCTCATCTTAAGGTGGGGAAGTGTAACGATCGTGATCGCGGTAAACTTGTAAAATGAACGCGAATACGATGTTAGTGGCTGGAATACTCATAGTATGCATCTTACAGATTCATACAGGTAAGAGTGATATACATATTGTTATTATATTCGATCTAGAATGATGTTAAATTGATGCAAATGTCTGCCAATGTCGTTCAATAAGTAATCTAGGCATCAGGCATTTTCCGCGTCACTATTGGAATAATCTAATTGCCTATTCAGCCTAGATAATGGAACTCTATCATATCTGAATATCTATACGCTAAAGTGACATTAGAAATATATTCTGAGTGTATATGTATACTACTGCTGAATGCCAAGGAATGTTACCTTTTCAAATATTTAAATAAATGCTTGTAATTGATCTTGAATCGATATATCAAGCCATCAAATGGAACTGGAATGCCTTAATACGTAATCATACTTTGCTGGATATTGTCTGGTGCGCGTAGAGTAGTATTCTCTGGATGCAAAATGTGTCTACATTGTAGGATCCCCCACACCTTGATGTAATTGTTAATTTATCATAATATTTAATTACATATCGTAAGAGTTATAGTCTCCAACTTTTTGTGACAGCGTCCGGCGATCGATATTCGGAGTTCGATGTCAGTAACAAATGGCAGGTGGTAGTGACATTTTGCATGTGAATGCTTTGTTTTGATAATATGAGCAATGATGTGGTTCTCGTGTTAGCGATAGCCAACACACGGTATCATCGGATCCTCTTAGATCCCCATGATATTATCTCTAGCTGTAATAGTATGATGACCATTAGTAAACTAATAATATGGTGATCATTTTAGGCTCTGCATTAAGCTGATCATACCGAGCTCTCGAATTAATGAAGCCCCTTGTGTTAGCTACGATAGCCAACACACGGCATCATCGGATCCTCTTAGCACCCGTGATGTGATCTCTAGCTCTAGCTCTTATGATGATAAACATTTGTAATCTAATCATATGTTAAGTATTTTATGCTCTGCATTGGGCTGACCATTAAACTAGAGGTCGCAGCGGAACTCAGTGGAAACCAATATACCGATAACCATCGCTAAAATAACCGTACCGTTACCGAAATACCGGTAAAAATATTACTTGACCTGGGATTCTTTACTTTCCCGATTTGAACTTGAAAAGTACAGTATAAATTATGTATCTTTCGAATCGAGATGTATTTCTATTTTGGAATAAAAATGTACGGTGTCACTATTCTAACTGATATGAAGCATACCTGTATGAAGTTGTGTGGTTTTAGGTTTTAAAAATTAATCTGAAGAATACTTAAAAGTATTTCATGTTTAAATTTCATGTGTTTTCGATTTGGAAGACATTTACCTTTCTAATTACGTTAAAGGATTTTCGAGCAGTGCTCGAGTATTTTCGTAGTAAATCGCTTTGAAAACCTACATCAAACCTACATCATAGTTTTCGTTTCAAATCGGTTAATAGTGACACCGTACACCTATAGTGTACCACGTATATTTTGTCACTGTACATTGTCGATGATTAGGCGTGTCCTAGAAATTTCAATATCGATATTACCGGAATTACCGGCGTCAGTCTCTACGTGAAACTGAACTTCAAAATATAGTAACGCATGTGTTATGACGTCGCAAAGCAAACGCCACATGGTATAATATTGAGAGGTCCGCTATTAGTGCCCGTAATATGACCTCTTGTTCTAAACGTTCTAGTTGTTCTAGTAATAATGGTAAACTAATTTGTGTTTTAGCTGACGCTGCAGGCGAGGAACCACTTATTGTTGCAATAGCTGAGGTAAGCACTAAATACAAGGGTAATTCTGAAGGTAAATTGTATTTTTCAACAGAAAGATATTTGGCTAATCCGTAATCGATAGCCAGTTAAAAATCGTGTTCGAAATTTTTATTTTCCTCGTTACACGACATCGAACAATGCATTGATGATTTATGTAGCTACAATAGCGTTGAGGATGTTCACCTTTAGGTATTTGATATTGTAATCGTTGTCTTCATGAAGTAAATGTGTCTCATCGTGTAGTGGCAATTAGCTAAAGTATCTTGGTTTACGTCAGATTGCGTAAACGCAAGCACTTCATTGTATACCTGATTATCCTATAATATTCCTAAAGGATAACTGTAATATCGAAATCAATGTGTCGCGTGATCAATAAAAGTCAGAGAGTTTAGCCAATTAGTTGTCGTACACGCCATGGAATAGTTTGGTCCCTTCATTTACTATATATTGACTACTATATTCTACTGTCTCCTAGGAATAATTACGTAAATATAACAATCTCTTCACTCTGGTCACCGGTTAATAAAACCATGAGATTTGCTAAATCAGAAAATTAACCTTAGTGTTGGGGCCTTACTTACAATGATAATATTATAAATGTATCGGAATAAGTCTGGAAGCTATCCTAACGAGATTCTATGTTCTGCAGAACACACTGCAATGAATCATCCTGTTGAAAATAAGCTTATTTGAAACCGCCATGGTATCAATAATTATAAGGTCGCTCGTCAATATTTTTACTTTGAGATACCAGATGGCTCGACGTCAGAAGTCCATAGCAGTCATAAACTAGAAGCACAATTATTTCACCTGCACAACCATATGTATACTGGCCCCGACTGAGTAAATGAAACAAGAAAAAATGATAGAAAATTGAGGGGGACTAGACTATATATTCCCAGTGGACCAATTTTAGTATTTTCACTCTTTGGATTAAATAGGTTTAATTGTTTTGCACTGAATAAAAATCGTGTTTTATTTCACCTGCCCCTCATAGATTGAGAATGCCGGAGACTTCAACATCGTACTTGCCTTGGTTCCGAACTAACCCAAGTTTTGCACAGTAAAAGACTTTCATCTCAAAATATCTAGTCTCAATGTTATTGATAGTACTATGTTTATTTTCATCACATTCGTCGGCTTCTGGTGTTTAACGTTTGCATAATAAATTATTTAATGCAGCAAAAACACTACCATGGTGAAAGACCGATGCGTTTTGTCTAATTAATTAACGAAATGGACTTGTAGCAATTTGCCTTTTAATTTGATACGGAGTACAATATTGATTGTAGATACAAGAACCCATACTCAACACACTATACTGTTTATACTCGACCCGCGATATCCCACCCAGAAGTGTTTGTTAGACCCGATACAAGTGTGTGTTTTCGTTTGCATAGATTTTATTTTAATATTGATCACGGCATATCGTTATTATCATGGCTTGTCTCTCCCAAACAATTCAATATGGCAAGACACACTGTTTGTCTTGTCCTATTAAAGTACAAGTACATTACTGTGATGAGCTACCTTTTTATACTTACCATGTATTTATTCTTTCTATCTAATCTGCAAAATATACAGCATACAGAGTAGCTACTAAACTGATTTGGCAAAAATACCTGTAGAGAAATGCTGATTGATATGTTTACATAGTTGTCAGGAAAAAACGTAAAATACCATATCTTATTCGATACTGTCTTAAAATGACATGGTAGCACAAACATTTATTTGGCTTTCGTATACATAGAGGTATGATCATTCACAATGGGTCGTAAATCTTGGTTACTCATGAATCTTCGTTACTCATGAATCTTGATTACTCATGAATCTTGGTTACTCATGAATCTTGGTTACTCACGAATCGTGATTACTCATGAATCTTGGTTACTCATGAATCTTCGTTACTCATGAATCTTGGTTTCTCCTAAATCTTGATTACTCATGAATCTTGGTTACTCATGAATCTTGGTTACTCACGAATCGTGATTACTCATGAATCTTGGTAACTCATGAATCTTGATTATTCATAAATCTTGGTTACTCCTGAATCTTGATTACTCATGAATCTTGATTATTCATGAATCTTGGTTACTCATGGATCTTAATTACTCATGAATCTTGATTATTCATGAATCTTGGTTAATCATGAATCTTGATTACTCATGAATCTTGATGTATGCATGAATCTTGATTACTCATGAATCTTGGGTACTCATGAATCTTGATTACTCATAAATCTTGGTTACTCATGAATCTTGGGTACTCATGAATCTCGATTACTCATGAATCTTTGTTTGAAACTACACTTTGAAATATCTTCCTTTGATAAAAGCGTCATTTAATGAAAGTTACCTCTTCTCTCATGAGTGGTTTTAATCCATTAAAATATTATTTACAGGAGGCACCATTTGTCTATGTGGATTCTAAATCCAACGACACAGTCTACACTGGATTCATACCTGACTTGGTGAAGGATATCATGAAAAGAATGAAAAGAGACTACGAATTTAAACTCGTGGATAGTGAAGAGGAGATGGTATCAGCTGTTGAAACAGGGGTATGTCATGCATTCTTTTAGAGTTTAACTCTTAAAGGTTGAGTCCTAGCCAATTTAAGCATAAGTTATTTCGTAACACCAATTCATGTTATTTGCGCATTGAAAGTTCCCAAATTCAGTCACACAACAGTGCTTAAAAAGAGGAGCATTAAATTGATCATAGACTGTCTACCTTTGATATTTAGGATGCCGACATTGCATCATTGATGACATCCCGTTTGGAAGTTGAGAAGCGAATTGATCTATCCAAGCCCTATCTAAGCTCTGGCATTGCTATAATGATGATGAAGCCTGAGAGTAATGGCTGGAAGCGTATTGGGGACCCTGGTTATCTCATCAATGCACTGAAGGACAACAACAACCTCCTCCTACCCTTCAGTATTGAGGTCTGGGTGCTTGTTGTTATAGCATACGTAGTCGTAAGTAATTTTTTTTATTGTGACTTGCAAAATGAAGTCCTTTTTACGAGAAAGTGTATTTCAAATACTAGGTCCTATTTAAGCTTAGACTTTCTCGAGAAATGCGGTACCCAATTATGTTTGTATTTGCCAGGAAATACACAAGATTTCTTATTTATGTTACTTTGTTGTGAATACTGAATATCTTGACTTATACGAGAGAGTGCATTTCATTTACTAGGTCCTATTGTTTCTTAGACTTATCTCAAGAAACGCGGTACGCCATCATGTTTGCATATGCCAGGAAAAGTACGAGATTTTGGTTTTGTTTATGTCTTATTGAACTTGTCTTACCTCTTTTCGTTTGCATATACCTCTGGTGTTTTTTCATTAGGTAAGCCTCTTCTTGTTTGTCATCAACCGATTCAATCCATACGAGGGGAGGAAACGTGCATCAAGGAACGAAGCAAATGTGGACAAGGACAATTTGAACTGCTGTGGGAGCTTCTGGATTGTCATGTCTACCTTACAATGGCAAGGTATGGCAAAGGGAGGTTGAGATAGGATCGTTCCAAGAACATGAACATGAAACGTTTTATATCCTACCTTAACTGGGATTAACTTAGTGATTTTAATTTTGAGTATAAAGGTATGGCAAAAGGAGGTTGAGTTAGGATCGTTTTAAGAACATGAACGTGAAACATGTTATATCCAATCTTAATTGGGATTAACTTAGTGATTTTGATTTTGAGCATAAAGGTATGGCAAAGGGAGGTTGAGTTAGGATCGTTTTAAGAACATGAACATGAAACGTGTTATATCCTTCCTTAATTGGGGTTAACTTAGTGATTTTAATTTCGAGCATAAAGATATTGAGAAAATTGATTTAATTAGCTACTTGCCAATCATCACCATGTGAGATTGAGACACTGATCCCCTGGGTCATAATTATTGTACACGCTCTTGTTCAAGTTCTTCCAAATGCAACTTAAATTGCAAAGACATTTGAGAAGTACTAAATTTCTATTTTTGCGACTTTCTGCTCTTCTACCACACTAATATTTTCTAGCAAACATTGTTAAAATATGAGGATCAAACTCCCAAAACGATGGCCTAAGATCGATTTCTGCTTTCAAGGTTATGAAAGATCACCAAAGTCGTTGGCAGGTCGATTGGTTCTGGTTGGATGGTTTGCCTTTGTGACATTTATTCTAGTTGCTTATACTGCGAATCTCGTGACATTGATGCAATCTCGAGGAAGTCAGGGTGACGCCCACGCATTGATGAGCCCTATTCAATCATTAGAAGACTTAGGTAACACCAAGCGTCCATATTTTGTTAAAATGGTATATGTAAAAGCAACTCAAAAGACAAAAAAATGCATTTGCAGTTTTGTACTTAATGATAATCAAAACAAAACAAGATGTTCATATATATAAGCAATGGGGTATGTTAGGGTATCAACTATCAGAATTATAAACATGAAGCAAATATAGAGGACAGAACTATATTCAGTTTGGATGGTTGGTAGTATTTGGATGACTTCATTGAATTTCGTCTGCATCAACGTACCATTATAGGCAAGCAGACAGAAGTCAAGTATGGCATCATTAACGGGACCATGGCACACAAAACACTCAGGTCGTCAACAAACGAACTTCACCAGGACATGTGGAGTCGTGTACAAAACCAGGAAGGAGACTTTCCTGGCATATCCAAGTGAGTCTTGGAAATGATTGTGTCTGTTGAAAACCATGTCGGCGAAACTTAGGTTTGATGTTCGAGGATTTCAAGTTCCCTACATCAAAAACGTTGACAATATCAAAAAAGTACGACACTACGTAGCCCTGAGACTAGCATAAAATTTATGATGGTCTCAGACTAGCCTTAGATTAAAAACCCTACGCACTCCCAATGAACTACTTGTTAAAGCCACTTTACGTATGAATTGTCAAACATTCAAATAATGACTTCCAAACGTACCGGTTTGAAGGAGGTGTTTCAATAACACTTGATTTCAAATGTCATTAAAATGTGATTTCAGAGGTTTAAGTGAAGCAATGTCAGCTTTGACAAAGACAAATGGGGAAAATGCTGTTCTCGTAGATTATCACAGGGCAAAACATGCAGCTGGTACTGATTGCAGGTAAATATATCTCAATTTGTGATACAAACGTGAGAAGAAAGGTTATTGACCAAACCTCATAATGTTTACATTCAGGTAATGAAAAGTAAGACATACACAAACGAGGAAGCAAAAGGCAAAATTCCAATTAATTCTTATATTTTAAGAGAAGCAATTTTCAATGCACCTCTTTCCCAACTCTTTTTCATCGCCAAGACAACCCTTTATATCACATTCCAAAACACAAATCTAGAAGTATGAGACATAACATGTCTCTACAGTGCCGTTTATCGAATTTTCTGTTTCAATCTATACATGTTCTTGGAGCCAATTAATTTTCAAAGATATCTTAATGCAAAAAAGCTATGCATTTCATTTTTTTTTAAATCATTTTATTTAGCCTAGGGTTTACAGTTTACACTATTACATCCCCTAGGGGTCTACATATAGAATTTTGTGATGTCATGCAATAGGTTAGACAGTTTTATATGGTTATAAGAATCTCTGAGTGTCTCTTATGAATGTCTGGACATGATTAAATAGAGTGCAGTTGTCAATGAATGAAGAATCCTTGTTTCCATGGATAATATGATTGAGAAGATTAAGTCTATTGGTTACGGCTATGTTCCCTAATTCCCTGAAAAGAGTTGTTCTTTGGGCAACATAGAGGGGACAGTCAAGAAAATAATGAAGTGGTGTCTCTTGTGCGAAGCCACAAGCGCAATGTTTGAAGTCCATGAGGTTATAAGAGAAACGTTGATGGTTTAAAGCACTGAGACCCATTCGGATTCTCCCATGATTAATTGCAGATTTGCTGGCTTTTAATGACACCCTATGCAGACAGAGCCTGTGGGAAATATTGGGTGCGGCGCAAATGAGCGGAGGGTGCGGAGCTAACGGTCATTTTTGAATTTAAAATTGGGATATTTCTGAAACTAAGCCGTTTTGGGACTTCAAATATACCAAGATATGTGTATTTGACACCAAATATCAATAAAATTGTGAAAATAGTAGTGCAATTCATTTTATAGCGACGCAGTATGCCTTAAACATTTCCCAGACCTATATATTTTGAGACTATCCTTTTAATACTGCGTCCCCAGCATTCGTAAAAAATGATGTTCAAGATACACTACCCATGCAAATTATTTTTGCATCTTGAAAGCCAGGCAGTATCTGTGTGATTTTATAAAAATTCGGAAATGTTCTTCAGATATGAGCCCCCTCTAAATATTGGGTGCGGAGGTACGTTTATGGAGCTCCTCCGCACCCAATATTTAGAGGGGGCTCATATCTGAAATCATTTCCGAATTTTTATAAAATCACACAGATACTGCCTGGCTTCCAAGATGCAAAAATAATAAGGCACACTGCGTCGCTATAGAATGAATTGCGCTACTATTTTCACAATTGTATTGATATTTGGTGTCAAATACACATATCTTGGTATATTTGAAGTCCCAAAACGGCTTAGTTTCAGAAATATCCCAAATTTAAATTCAAAAATGACCGTTAGCTCCGCACCCTCCACTCATTTGCTCCGCACCCAATATTTCCCACAGGCTCTGTCTGCATAGGGTGTAATGAGTAAAGTTTATTTTTGCTTTTGCAAATAGAATGTTTAAGTTTATATTTAAATAGAGGGAGATAACCAATGTTCCTAAACTGTTGTTCAAGGTTGTTCCATATTCTAATGGCATTTGGAAGAAACGACTTGTAATTAATGTTAAGTCTGCAGAAGGGTATATTGAAAGAATTTTGGTTTCTTAAGCTATATCTGGTCTGATTTTGGGAGAGAGGGGTTAAGAGGTCAGTCAAATAAAGCGGGGCATTTTGATTAACCATTTTAGCCAAGTTCATTCAAAATGTCATTATATTTAGTATGTCTATAGGCATGTGAACATAATATAGCAGCTTCTCTTTGGATGTTCTCTTTGGAATAAATGACAATTATTATAAAGGACGTCACCATATTCAAGTACTGATCGAACCATTGAAAAGTATAATGTTTCTAGTTCATTTTGATTTAAGTTGTATTTAAATGAGCTCCTTTTAAGGAGGCAAAGTCTCATATTTGCTTTCTTAACAATATTGTTAATATGAAGGTGCCAGCTCATATTTGATTGAATTGTAAGTCCTAAATGGGTATGGTGATCAACTGTTTGAATTACAGAGTTGTTTAACTTTATATCAGAATAATTAAATTTATTTTGTTTCAGTGAGATTATCAGAAGTTTTGACTTGGCAGCATTAAAAGTAACTTTCCATCTTTCTGCCCATTGTTCTATTTGGTCTATATCATGTTGCATTTTAACTGGGCTAAGTATAGGGTCGTTTACCACTTCAAGTAGAGAGGCATCATCAGCGAAAAGGTTTATGTCGGTATCTTTATTTTCAACAATGTCATTGATGTAAAACAGAAATAGTAGAGGTCCGAGTATTGAGCCTTGAGGGACACCTGCTTCAATGTAGCGCCAGTCAGAATGAACACCGTTTATGACAACTCTCTGTTTGCGGTCAGAAAGATAGCTTTTCAACCATTTTAGAAGTTGACCAGAAATTCCATATGTTTCTAACTTGTAAATTAAACCAGTATGCCAAACCTTATCAAATGCCTTGGAAATATCTAAAAAGATTATCATAATTTCATTTCAATCATCCAAGCTTTTGTAAATTTTGTTAACTAAGTTTATCAGTTGATTTATTGCTGAGTCGTTTGGTTTAAAACCAGAATTTCTGGGAGTTAAGATATTGTTTATTTTACAAAAGTTATATAATACATTGAATACTAAACGTTCAAAGACTTTGGATATACAGGACAAAAGAGAGATTGGTCTATAGTTTAATTTAGATTGTTTATCTTCTTTTTTGAAAATAGGTGAGACATGTGCCTCTTTCCATGCTGACGGAAATATACCAGTTTGTAAAGAGTTATTGAAGATACCACAAAGGCTAGGTGATAAACCAGGGGCACATTCTTTCAAAATCCGATTGGAAACATTATCTGGTCCACTTGCCTTTGATACGTTAAGATGGATCAATATATCATAAACTTGAAAATCTTCAAATTGTATAAAACTAAGGTGTGAATCAGTTTTGTATATCATGTTAGGAAGTACAGGGTCATTTAGGTTTGAAGGAAGAATTGTTTGATCTGCAAAAAAATTATTTAATATGTTGGCCTTTTCTACTGAATCAGTAATAGTTTCATTATTTTCAATTAGAGAGGGGATGCCTTGTGAAACTTTTGGACCATACATCATCTTCAAAATTTTAAAGTACATTTTGGAAGTGGTAGTTCTATCTGCCAGTTTTAGTTTCAAGTTTTCTATGCTATTTATTTTGCTCTGAGAAAATAAGAAATTAACTTCAGTTCGCTTTCTCTTGAAATTGTAAAAGTCTGCAATATTTTTTGATTTTTTCCATTTGGAATGAAGTTTGTTCCTTTCGTTAATTTGTTGTTTAATTTGTTTGGTTATCCAAGGTTTATCTTTACTAGAAATAGTTATTATTTTCTTATTTATGAAGCTATCAACGACCATCCAAAATAATTCATACCAGTTAGATACAACTATGTTTGTATGTTCAGTTTCAAAGTAAATTATTTCCCATGGTGCACTTAATAGATGATCATTGAGTTTAATAAAATCTGTGTTATTATAATCAAAAATGGTACGTTGATATTTTACTGTGGCATTATGCTTAAGATTAAGTTCCCCATGAATGTAACTGTGATCTAGGTTTGCTAGTGGAGGCTCAACCCCTTCTTGTGAAACAAAAGCAGGAGAGTCAGTAATCAGTAAGTCAAGAATAGCATCACATCGTGTAGGTTTTGTTATCAACTGAAATAAGTTAAAGCCATGAATAAGATTAACAAGCTTGTTTCCTACTTCGCTATCATTGTGTGTCGAGTCCCATATAGTACATGTATCATTAAAATCGCCTAACAGTATCAAACAATCTGGTTGTAAGTTGAGCACACGTGTAAGAGAAATGGTCAAATTATCAATAAAGTTGTCAACATGTTGAACATTCATACAAGGTGGCCTATAACAAGTTCCTATGATCACAGTTTTTGGTCCAATTTTGAGTTTAAGCCAAATTAATTCTAGGTCATTGTGTTCACAATTAAACAGTCTGGTAGTTGGAATTGATTCTTTAACATAAAAGGCTACACCGCCACCTGGCTTATTTTTTCTATCTTTACGAATAAGTCTTTGATAATTTTGAATGTAAATATCATCATCATCTGGTTTAATGTTATCATTGAGCCATGTTTCACTGAGAGCAATGACATCAAACTGCTTGCTGACACACAGAGTAGAAGTGATTTCATCAATTTTCTGGTGGTGGCTTTTTAGAGATTTGGTGTTAATATGACAGAAAGAAAAATTGGTTGGGAAAATCCTCATGGGTCCTGGGTTTGGGTGTATACCACCTATAATTAACAAGATGTGCAAAACTATATTAAGATATGCAATTGCTATGAATTTACAAGGCCTTGGCTGATTTGGAATTCTAAAATATTTGTTTTTAAAAGTAAATATTGATGTTCTTGTGATAAGGTGCCATGTCCCAATTGTTGCCCTATATTGAGTAATGTCAATGCTCATGGTGGTTCAAAATAGTTGGGAATGGGAACACAGACAGGAGAATCTATCCAAAGACATGTTGGATCCTGGGGATTGAAGGAATAAAGTGATTGCAAAGAACAGACATGCACCAGAGACACTCTATACCTTTCTAACTCAAATTTTATAATTTTCAGAGTGAGACATGTTGTGAATAATAATATAATATACAAGTATGACATGTACAAGGGCCGATCAAAAAGTTTCTTACCGTTGGCTCTCAATTTTATAATAAGAGGAGTTGGAAGCTCAAACTTTATCATGAGACAGGATAGTTAGTTTGCTTGAAACTGTACAGGTTTCATATAAATTGGTTTATTGGTAGTGACACAGAGTCAATACATATTTTCAATGACTAAGCTAGGTGGAGCAGCGTTATATATAAAATATCTGCTAAGTTGTGGTTCTGGAAATTTACTGACATCGTTTAAAACCTCTCATACGAAGGCCTTAAACATGTGTTTTTGGATCGAGTGGACAGATATAGGAAGTGCATTGCAACTGGGTTTGAATATTTTGAAGGAGAATGAATATTAGCAGAAAAACTATTTAAACATGATTAAACTACAGTCTGTTGACAGATGACACTACTTAATGTTAGAAATTTTCAAAACTGCAGCTTAGCACAATTTTTTGTAAAAAACGCTGCTCCACCTAAATCAATCATTGAAAATATATATTGACTCTGTGTCACTACTAATGAACCAATTTAAATTAAACTCAGACAGTCTCAAGCAAACTTACTACCCTGTCTCGTGTAAAAGTTTGAGCATCCAACTCCTCTTATTATAAAATCTAGAGCCAACGGTAAGAAACTTTTTGATCGGCCCTTGTATGTACATGTGTTAATCATTTATGCAATATGGTTAATATACATGGAATGCTGTTACAGAAATATAAGTGGTTGAGTTTCATTGATTAAGTAAAGGTGAAACTGTATAATATGTATCATATTTTAGATTGAGATACGTATATACGGATATGGCTAGCTATGGATACCGCTTTGGTATTAATAAAGCCAGTGATCTAGATGTTGAACTCAACAAGGCACTGTTAGAGATTCGAGAAGATGGTAGTGTATCTTTGCTACAGAAGAAATGGTTTGCTGATAAGGCTGTCTGTTCTTTGGAAAACTCCAGTGAAACGAAAGCAGAAAAAAAGTATGTATAAAAATACATGTTTTTGAAGAATAGTTACTATTTCATTCTTGATATGTTAATTTATAATAACAAATATCCATTTTCCGCATATTTAGAAATCTAGCTAATTATGCAGATATCGACGTTTCCTATGTCAACATTTCCTACATGTGAAAACGACATTGTCTCTTTGCTAGACGTTGGGGCGTTCCATACTGAAAACCCCAAACTGCCACCAAAACAAAAAATATACCATATGAAATCTACGTTACAGGTGTTGGGCCAAAAGATGGGTAAGCTAAACTATATAATGGAGCAATGTTTCTTGTTACAGGGCGGATGAGCCAACACCCTGTCAGGTGAAGTTCCGACCACTTTACATGGCAGACATTTTGGGTGTCGTTGTACTGTTTCTTCTCGTTCTAGTCCTTGCCTTCATTGTGATGATCCTAGAGGTTGTCTGTTTCAGAATCAGGTCTGCTGGGGTAAGTAGAGTTTTGAATATATCCCGATTCAATATGTCATAATTGATACAATATGGGATACCCAGGCCTTGGCTCAAATCAGTAGGATTTGTTTAATATTTATTGTATAGAACATGATGTCATAGTATCCTTATACACACCATGATGAAATATTGCGGGGCTTCAGTGTTAAGTATGATATATTTTTATTTCCGAAAATTATAGTTACTTTAATTGGTTGCTTTGTTGAAGCAAAAGCTGTATACTAATACATTAAAACTTTACTTGGGCAACTTCGTGAGCATTAATAAGTTCGAGGTCATTTGCCCATCTTTGATTTGATTGCTTTTAGATTCCCTCAAGTGTACTCAAATGTGTCGTGCCTCTAATTTAAATAATAACAATGGAATTATTGTTTTTATGAAATGAAATCAATATACTTGTCGATGAATATATTTTCAGCGCTTCGAACCTATTTCAAAGACCCCTTGTGATGAACCGGACCTGAAGGAACTAACAGGGGAACCCGCAAGTCCAGTGGAAGAATGTTAGATACCAGAATTTGTAGACCTATGAATCGGATCTCTTCATTCATATCATCATTTTAACCGTAAACAATTGTGACACATACACACAATCAAGGTTGATGAAAAAAGAAACATTTCAAGTTTTACAGAAGACTACCACACATCAAAATAATGTTTATTAGAAAAAAGAATCATTTCAAGTTTTACAGAAGACTACCACACATCAAAATAATATTCATTAGAAAAAAGAAACATTTCAAGTTTTACAGAAGACTACCAGCATCAAAATAATGTTCATTAGAAAAAAGAAACATTTCAAGTTTTACAGAAGACTACCACACATCAAAGTAATGTTTATTAGAAAAAACTGTGTTTATTACATTGTTTATTTTATATGTGAATATGCCTAATACCTCGATGTTGCCTTGTTATTAGAAACATATATGATGATTGCCTTAATTTACATTTATTTAGATATGACATAATGTATAAATACATACCATTTTCACTAATTATATGTAGTTCATGAATCATGACGACGAGCCATGTCTGGATCAGGGATAAATAAAAGAAAAATGTGATGGCTAAAATTAAAACTAGTACGAAAATATAGAACTAGAGCATCATGTCAATGTAATTTACTATTTTTTATTTAATGGACGATTTTTATCTGTAAACTAAGGTAATAGAAACTACAAAGAACACGATGTAATCTGTGACTTTTTGAGGAGTCATTTTTTAATTATAATATTGTGGTAAAGGATGTGTAAATTGTAAAATGTTCAGTGCGTACATGTTAATCATTGTATCATGTTAATCATTGTACCATGTTAATCATTGTTTCTATTCCAACCATAAACCTTTCTATAACGATTTATTTTTACAATTTGCAAATCTGTATTTTTCTATATTTTACCTATCTTTCACTAGACAAACAGGTTGGAATTAACACATAATAATCAGCGATTACTTTTTTAGAATAATCATTAATAACCAGACACAGTCTGATCCTGACCTAATTATAACTTTTAAGGCTAGATACAATGGCAACAGGCATGGCCTGGCGATAATCACTTTTTTCTTTACTGAATAACCGACCAACTGATTATCGTGATTGATTAAACTTCAAAGGGCTAATTACAAATGACACTGCTGGAATACAATCTCTTGTCTAAATAAAATGATCAACCTGTCTGTGATAAGAAGTATAAAGGAATTTAAAATGTATCTAATATATTATACAATTAGACAGACTGGCTATTTTAATCCGTTATGAAAAGCCATTTGTCTTTTCCACAACAGGAATGTTTCTACGGAAGTTAATTTGTTTATCTTAGTGTTTAGTTAGAGGCATTGTCCCTTGACGCTTTTATGAAATAAATGAACTTTGTGATGGGCTACAATTGTATATTCTTACATTACATTATTTTCATTTTAGGTCTCTCTTATTACATGTAGTTGCATTGCAGAAGTCTAATGTTATTCTCTCCGTGTGCCGAAAGTACTTATACCCGTAGCCAAGGGGTGGGGGTGGTTCAAGGAGTGCGAGTGAACAGAATTCGAATTGAATACAAAATAAATACGTAACATATAAATATATAAGTACATAATGTCTAGCCGCTTCTTACATTTTCTGAACTTCAAATGCGCCTTTTGACGTGTGGTAACAAAATACAAAATAAATACTTATGTTTCTCCAGCTTGTTTTTATTTGGCAATAAAACATGCATAAAGAGATAGCAAATTGTGCACAACCCGAATCCCCTCCCCGATCGGGTCGCGTTTACTGTGTATGTAATAATGTACAAAAGTAATGTAATAAAGACAATAATGCCCCAATTAATAGTATTAGCTCGGAGCATCAACACACACGTTTGATTGAAATAATTCAAATCAAAGTTCGAAATGAATAAAGATAATGAAGGTTCTGTCTGACATTCGAGAACAAGAATTTGTCCAGTCAAAAATATTTGATCTTGATCAGATGTATTTATTGATCCTTGTATTTAAAACTACAGATGGTTCACTTAATTCTGAAGTAAACAAAAAATAATCCTATACCCGATTACTTGGTTCCCATGATACTGCCTATAAGCTATAATACTCATTTATCAAAACAAATATTAATTAATCCGTCCGTCTGATTGCATTTTGTTCCCTGGCTCAAACTAAGCAAACCCCGATTACAGTTCTTAATTCTTCACTTGAAACAATTTAGCCAACATGATACAATATTAAATTTTATTAATTATACACATATAAAGCCTAGTGTTATCAAAACCCATAAATGCTCACAATATAAATATAGTTTATTGTTATAACACAATAACAGATATCAGGGGCGTAGCCTACTTTCAGTCAGGGGGAATGTGATTGCCAAAAATATTTCGGTTTTAAGTCGGGGGGGGGGGGGTGTGTGATTGTGACATAAACAAGGGGGTGCGATTATGACATAAACAAGCCAAAAATGATTTTTATATTGGATTTTACAAAAACTGGATGCAAGTTCCTTCCAAAGTGAGCTAGAAGCTTCAAATAAAAAGCATTTAAAACTCTTTGAGTCCTCTTTCTTAGGGTTTTTAATCTTTATTGGTTTTCGCAACCCCCCCCCTCCTCCTTGGCTATGCCTATGGATATTTAGAAAGTTTCAAATCAATAACTCGGCAACCAACCACGCAAGTAACCAACCTAGCAACCAAGCAAACGACCATCCAAGCAAGCAGGAAATGAAGCAAGTAAAAAGCAAACCATGCAACTTACAAATAAAGCAAGCAAACAACTGACAAACCAACCAAGCAAGTAGCTAATTAAACTCTAATGCAAGAAACCAAGGAAGCAGCAAAGCAACAAAGAAAGAATGTTAGCAAGTAAACGGCCAATCAAGCAATCAATCGTGCTAATAAACAAGCAAACAAACAATCTACCATCCAAGCAACTAATTAACATAATTCAATAAGATTAAAATTTAACCTTGCGCACATTTGCTCTACGGTAATAATGAGTAATATAGAACTATCATATTAATTGCATTTATTAAACACAGAAATGAAACACATTGGAGCATACATGTAGTTAAATGATTGGGGATGGGAGGGGGTAGTGAACACACGGGATACTGAATTCTTCCTCTTAAACTTAATTTTCAGTGCTTGAATGAAGGCTTCCCTTTAACAGATTTAGGGAGTTTCACTACTAGTTTCACTGAGATTGAAGTTTTTCAATTGCCTTTGTTATAACATCTTATTTCAATACACTGGATATTATGTAAAAGTATTGATGTGTATTTCTTATTCCCGACAATCGAATTTCATATCAAACATTTTAATTATAGTTTTACAGTGGTATCACAACGTTATTGCTTCTATAAATGCAACACATTTACCAGATTTTGGATTGGACTTTCTACACGATGATAAAATATTTTCTTGGTGATATTCTTTAATTACTACTAATTAGTATAAACTATTGATTGAATTGCAGAAATCTGCTGCATTATAATTGCTAATGAAAAATCTTGAATCCTGGTAATTGAAGTTGGACAGCTAAATAAAATCTAACATTAAATGAAATTCTAAAAATGTGTTTCGTTTATTTTTTGTTTGGTTGATAATGAATTAAAAAAAGGTATTTGAATGAAAAATTCAATTTCGCAAAAACTCATATTCTTTAGCTGGACAAAAGCTATAGTTTGTTTATTCAGCGGATAATAATTGGAAGCACTAGACGCATAAATGGCAGACGGTTCTTAATTGCTAATGAAAACAAAGCGATAATCAGTTGGGGGAATAATCACTTGACATAATAATCAGTTGGAATTTTTGCCATTGGCTACACATTAATAAGAATTGATTATCGTAATAACCAGTGAAAACACTGGTTATTTTTGATTAATAAGTCTCGATAATCAGCGATAACCAGCAATAATAGTCTCGATAATAGGTTTTAACCAGATAATAATCATTTATTCACTGATTATTTGTGATTAAAATTGCTTATATTTGGTCACTTCGCCCAGTGTTTGTATAACAATGTACTCAAGAAATATATATTTTAGTTAGAATCAATTTTAAGATTATTAATAGCGTCACCAACTCAACATTACTAGAATTATAAGAGATACTTTGATTAGTTATGATTGAGTACTCTCTCTCAAATAGCTTTTACATAATTTAATTATTAGATTGAAAAAGTAAAAAAAGAATGCATATTTTTGTTTTTATCATAATCTTTATTTGCGTCTCTGTAAATTGAAGCAAGTCCATCCATTGGTCCATGTAAATACAAGCAACGCATTCACTTTAGCAACGATACATGCGTGTATTGGGTACATGTATCTAACATGAACTGTTTTAGCATAATATATCCACAATGTAGGTAGCTTTGTCAACATTTATGATTAAAGTTTTTGTAACATTGCCAACATTTTTCAAGATGGAGTTAGATACTAAAAATGTACATGTGCTTTGTTATTTTCAAAGCCTACTCGATATTATATTTTATAATTTTACTATTTTATGAGCATTTTGTAGATGATTAAATCAATGGGTATTATTTGTTTAAACTTTCTTACAAAATTTTATACATATAAGTGGTTCGTTGTGTGTTGTCATTATGTTAATAAACATTTTAAAAACGCAAAGGTTAAATGAACTGATGAATAGAAACGGTGGAACAAAAATAAAATATTTCCAATATGGCGGAAAGTGTAGGTTCTTCAATCTGTTAGCATGCCGGTGTAAAAGGGTAGACGGTCCTATTAATTGATGGTCCTACTCTCCATTGATTTAGATGGTGAACTCTTTCCCTAATTACATGTATCTTATACACAATTAGGGCCAGTAAGGGCCTTTAAAAGGGGGACCATAATACCTGGGGACCATAATTTCTTTCACACCGGGGAATTTCTTTTCGGTTCCTTTAATATTTGACGTTCATTTATTTATAGCATTTGTGGCAAAGTTGTAGTGTATATTTACACAGCTTTGGAAAAATGGAAATCACTAACTGTATTTACAAACAAACGTGTTGTGATTGTGAAATAAATTTACTACTCTAACTAAAAGTTCATTATTGATTTATCCCGTGAGATATGCCAATGTTAAAATTGTTTAAATCTGAGGTCCTCCGAAAACATCGGATCCATAACATTCTGGGTTAATGTAATGATGTACTTGTATTGTACATATATGTTTCATTGTTCAATTACCTACAACTTGGTGTAATAACTTTAATAACTGTGATGATGTAAGATTGCGTAATTTTATTCTTAAGACAACACGTATGGTAGAAATAGTGCTAGCTTTTTCCGATTTTGTCAATTGGAGCTAATGATTATATCATAATAAATCAATTATCCCAGAGACATGAAAAACACATTTTTCATGTCTCTGATTATCCTATGTACAATTTTGCTGATTTTTTTCAGTTCAGAAAACATTTCTTATATCTGTAGCTTCGAATCAGGTACTCAAAATTTAAAGACACTAGATCTACCTGATGCCAATGAAAAGTTATAGGGAAAAAACTTAACAGGGGGTCATGTTGACCCCCCCCTCGGGGCTTCTAGGGTTAATACTATAAACTTTGACAATAAATACAAGTTTTCGCTTATTTTACTGTAATCCTATTTGGATCTTATTGCGTTTTTTGCGATCCTTCACCTCAAATTGCACTTACTAGATTCCCCGGGAATCTACACTGAACGAAAATGTCTTACATTTCCTGTGATATCCGGCACAACCTCGAAGTGAAAATGAAGTGTGTACATTTAATTTATTTCTTATTTTTTCAAGTTTTATCGGTATTTACCGGGGAAAGTAAAGGGTTGCAAGAAAGGAGCGACGCATCAGCAAACAGTTTTCACCAGGAAGTGCTGAATAGGCCACCAACCATCGCTATAGTGATCCTAGTTCGAAATAAAGCGCACACTCTTCCGACTTTTTTTTCCTGTCTTGAAAAGCTTCGATATCCCACAGATCGGATATCATTATGGTAAGTTATCGCAAAAGAATGCATTTCACCATTGCTTGCAAATCCTCGAAATTCAGTGAATGTTCTGTGAATCCTCTTGGGTGTGCCACGCCCACTTTAAAATGTGGCTATGGGGTGCTCCGGGGGATGCAGCACTACCCCATATAAAGTGCTTAGAATGTCATGGTAATCATAGTTATTCTTTCTATTATTCTATTATTGAAAGAAGGGACTTAACTCTGCATAATTCAGAGCGTTGACTGTATAATTATGTATTATTTTGCATCTTACTAAAAGGCGCTGAATTGATCGTTGTTTGATTATAAGCTCATGTTTGGGCAAAGGGATGTAACGTTGACTTGTGGGGTAATGTCAACATCAGAAATGGGGTAACCTCGACACTTACTTGCTATAAATTAGAATTTCTGTTTTCCACCATGTTTGATTTCGAAAAAATAAAAATCTTGTGAGATCCAAATTCTTGTGAGAAGAAAAAACATGGCTTCTCGTTGGATCAGAAAACAGAAGAAATAGACAAGGTTTCGAAGAATAACAGAGTTACCACAAATTGAAACGGAATAGCATCTATGTTACCTTCCCTTCCCTAGATCTGAGATAATTTATCGAGGACCCTGTAGTACTATTAAACAAAAATCGGGAAAATATAATGAAAGATTTTCATCAATTCTGGCCAAAAATACACTTTTCTGGGGTGAAAATGCAGGTGAATTCATAGATTTTGGTAAGTGGAAAATATTTTTGTTCTGTCCAACTTCCTGACCAAAATGCCTGACATCCTAAATCAGCACCATACATTAGAAAAAGAAACCAGGTTTCCTTTAAATAAGGCATTTAAGGCATTGATATCAGTGTTGAGTTGAACTTAGGAACAGGCCATAGTGAGTTAAATGACTTCAAAAAGATTTTCATAATTTATTTTTCTGCAGTAGCAATTTGCCCCAGGTTACATTAGGCTACTTTCTAACCATGATATCTTAAATAGTTGATATCAAATGTCTACTACAAGTGAGGGAACAAAGTACTATAACTTGCTTTAATTTGATTGATGACAACCGCAAAATTAAGTCTCCCTCAGTCAAATTTTTTAATGAATCCCCTGGCGATTCCCTCGCAGGATAAAAACATTTGAAAATACTCTACTGGAATGTCAATATTGAACTATTTTTGAAGATTTAGATCCACTGCTGGTTATTTTTTTAAAAACAAGAGCATTATTTGCTTCTTTGTAAGAACCCTCTAATATCCACATTTTACCAATGGGTAAATCCGCCAAATTAAATAGCAACAAAAATTTCAAAATTTGCCCAATCCAGCCCAGCTATCCGCCAAATTAAAAAGCACCAAATAAAACAACTTACAGTATTAGGTATTCTAGTGTTGTTTGTACATAAATGTATTTTCCAACATTTTTTCTCATCCTTAAGTTGTGATCATTTGTAAAAATAATACTCAATAACTTAAATAGATAAATAAGATACAAGATGCATGTGTATATATAAGTGTTTAGTATTGAAGTGTGGATCGATTGCTGTACTTCTAGTTAATTTGGCGCTATTTATTTTGGCAGATTTGCTGTTTTGAACATTTGGTGGCTACTTGGTAGAATTGCAATATTGAAATTTATCGTATGATCTGTAAAATGAAGTCCTCTAATTGGTCAGTACTTGTGCTGTACCAATCTGTATTGCTACTGAGATTGTCCCCGTTGATCATCTCTGTCGCAATACAGAAAATATATATTCTGTCTCGATACTCTGTATTTCTCGAGAAGAATATATCCTGTATTGCACTTCAAATCATTCAATAACTTATAGTATTGAAATTAAAATATGAAATATTGAATTTGGCAGCTACTTTATTTGACAGACTTTAACAATTTGATGGATCTGCCAAATTAAAACGGCTGCCAAATTTAGTGGAAGAACAGTATTCTTTTTCTGATATTTTCAAAACCTATAGAATGAGGATTTGTTTCAGGGTGCGCACAGATCACAATGCAGATCATTCAAGTCAGTTGTTGAAACAATGGATAAATGCAATGTCGGGACATTACCACAGTATAGATGTCACTTATGACAAACGCAAACATGAAGATGATACAGGTACTGTTATATTAATGTTATATTACCTGTTATTATATTATTAATATATTATTGTGTATTCTGATGTATTATATGGGTATTTTACAGATAATCCAAAAATAATGTTTTTCCATGTTTAACATGTTTGCTATGTACAAATAAAAGGTTCTTGATTAAATGTTGTGCCTTTTGTCTTCACAACTGTACGATAAATACTTGAAGTTTATGGCAATTCACAAAATATATTTTTCAAACAATATGCCCCAGGTAATTTAAGTGTAAAGACATGTTTCAAAGTTCAGGGGTTTCACTAAAATTTCTCACAACAGGCCGAATATACAACAATGAAAATCACAGGCAAAACTAATGGAAATCATAAATTTAACCTGGAAAAGTTGAAAAGTCCCTAAAAACAACAGGCGATTTTGTGAAAATAACCTGTGAAAAATTGCCTGTTGCACGCTGCTAATGAAACCCCAGAAGTTATATTATTATTTCTATGAGTATTCCTCTTCCTACAATAATTCTTTCTCTTCATTTTTCTTGTAGCATTTGAAGGAGAAACAGGTCCAACGCATTGGCCTAATTCTAGGATAACACATGTGCTTAAATTGCGCCAGAAAGGCTTAGAATATGCAAGAAAAATTTGGGCAGATTTTGTCCTGGTGAGTTATATAATTTTATATTTATCATTTATTTATTTAGATACAGATTTATTTCAATACAGTATATGTTTTTCTTAAAATCCATAATGTTAATGCCATACCCAGCTTGACAGAATCGAGTTGTGTATGTTGCATAATTTTGATCAAATACTCTTTTCAACATTGAATAATGATTAGTTAAAATGTATATTAAACAAACATACAGTCAGTACTTATATGTGAATCCTTAGCCTCAAATAGCTACTCCATTATATTTCAATATATACCATAGTAATAACTAAGCAACCAAAATACACAATTATGCCATAATTCATAATATATACATGTATAGACTCAAACACTGAGACATTTTATATTTCAGTATGTAGATGTAGATAATTTCCTTGTAAATCCTGACATACTACATGATCTCATTACACAAAGAAGGTGAGTGTATTTTATTCTCTTCGCATTGAAATCAATACCCTTTGCATTCGTTTGACTTCACTTCTTAAAAGAGGGCTTCGTCTTCACTCTTTCAAACTAAAATAAACCTGTGAACTCACCGCGCCAATCAGTGTTCATCGGCCAAATTTGACCGACGTTCTATATATGGTCATTCCTTCTGACGTCATCGTTGAGCTCGGAATTAACCAATGACATGCGCAAATTTAATTAGCACGCATTTGGCGTATGTTTCTTCAAGCTCACTGACTGATGGAAGAAAGGTCAGCGCATAGGTTAGAAGTGATTTATTACACAAACTGTCACCGGTACCCGTCGTATGGGCGGGGCTACTAAACTGTAATATGGTCTCTACTAGGCAGAGTGTAGTTTAACTAGACTCTGCGCGCAGGGTATGAAATCAATATATGTAAGTCAAATAAAAGTTTTGCTATGTGTTCACTGAATGAAGTTAGAATTTGTTTAACATTTTATTTTCAGAACAATAGTTGGTCCAATGTTAAATTCAACAGTAGATTACTACAGTAACTTTTGGTGTGCTATGACAGAAAAGGTCAGTATGAAAAATCAATTTACAACCAACTGTGTATTATTGTGATGCTTGCAACGAATGGCACATTATTATTATAATCAGCTCATGGATTGGAACCAATAAATGATTAAAGAATAGGACTCCATTATTTGTTGCTTCTTTTAAGCACTCAAATTTTGTTTTCTGCTTAAAACGAGAGTGGTAGCCCAAGCTTAACCCTTTCACGACGATAGGCTCCATATGGAGCCCTATTATGTAATACCTTTCAGGACGATAGGCTCCTTTTGGCACCATTATTTTTATTTATATACAACAATAAAATGACAATATCTCCAGTTCTATTCATTATTTTTACACCAAATTTTGACAAGTTGTTCTAATGTGATAATCATCACTAAAAATTATATTTCAGTGATAAAATTCAAGGTATAGATCCCGGGGCATAGGTAATTTTCAGTTTTCCCTTAAAAACAGCTCTTACTTATCCGTCACCAGGGCCAACATTTTCCTCTTATATTCACATCGGGAAAGGGTTAAAGGGCTAACATACACTGAACTACATATAATTTTAAATCAATCTGTAAGAGAAATAGTCATGTGCTAAATTTTTTTCACACATAGTCAAAGTAAATATTAAATGTTAATTTTGCAAAGAGTATATGCATACTAGCTTATCATCTCAAACTTAATAGTTACCCTTTGTTCAATTTTGAAGTCTAATTTCATAATAATTTCTCTATTAAGGGTTTCTATGCTAGGACAGAAGACTACTATCCTATACTATATTGGCGTAAGCTTGGATCGTTCCCTGTTGCTATGCTACACTCAACATTCCTGATTGATCTAAGACGTGATGAGTCTACAAAAATCCAGTTCTATCCCCCACCACCAGGTTATACAGGGCCGTATGATGACATCATCATTTTTGCAATAGCTTGCCAGTATGCAGGTACAGTAGAAATTGCAAAGCCAAACACCTCTGTAAATGGAATCACAAACTAAAGAGACAGAATGCAACACTCAAGACTTGAGTGAAATGTTTACGCTGGTGGAAGACATTATAATAAATTTTAACTCATGATATACCAAATTAAAGATAAGTAAATTCCCTATCCACTGGTATATAATATGACATGTTTTCCTCAAGAAAATCAATATTTATTTTTGAAATACGAGTGTCCCATTTTTTTGGACCACCCTGTACATTCTACATTATAGGTGTTCCAATGCATGTACTAAATGGTAAACTATATGGTTATATGCTAAACCCTCTTGATGAATCGCAAACTATAGAGACAGAAGTAGAATGAATGCAACACTTAAGACTTGAGTTTAATGTTTACATATACATTCTACATTATAGGTGTTCCAATGCATGTACTAAATGGTAAATTATATGGTTATATGCTAAACCCTCTTGATGAAGCGCAAACTATAGAGACAGAAGTAGAGCGAATGCAACACTTAAGACTTGAGTGTAATGTTTACATGTACATTCTACATTATAGGTGTTCCAATGCATGTACTAAATGGTAAATTATATGGTTATATGCTAAACCCTCTTGATGAAGCGCAAACTATAGAGACAGAAGTAGAATGAATGCAACACTTAAGACTTGAGTGTAATGTTTACATGTACATTCTACATTATAGGTGTTCCAATGCATGTACTAAATGGTAAATTATATGGTTATATGCTAAACCCTCTTGATGAAGCGCAAACTATAGAGACAGAAGTAGAGCGAATGCAACACTTAAGACTTGAGTGTAATGTTTACATGTACATTCTACATTATAGGTGTTCCAATGCATGTACTAAATGGTAAATTATATGGTTATATGCTAAACCCTCTTGATGAAGCGCAAACTATAGAGACAGAAGTAGAATGAATGCAACACTTAAGACTTGAGTGTAATGTTTACATGTACATTCTACATTATAGGTGTTCCAATGCATGTACTAAATGGTAAATTATATGGTTATATGCTAAACCCTCTTGATGAATCGCACACTATAGAGTAGTGGTGTCAATTAACCGCTTGAGCATTAACCGGTTAACCGGGGGTTTTTACCGGTTAAAGTCGGTTAACCGGCGGGAAATTTGAACTGATAATTTCAAATGAAATTACGTTCGTCAAGCTTTACTCTATTCTATGTAAGTAAGCGCGGGAAAGCAATGTGGCAGGAATTAAAGTTGCTGATTGGATGTTTGTAAGGGATTATTGGACCTATCACATGTATGAGTAGCTCACATGAAACTGACGCTTGAAAAACAAACAGATTAAAATGCAAAGTAAGCGCGGGAAAGCAATGTGGCAGGGATTAAAGTTGCTGATTGGATGTTTGTAAGGAGTTATAGGACTTATGACATGTATGAGTGGCTTACGTGAAACTGACACCATAAAACCAAACGGATTAGCATGCAAAATAAGCGCGGGAAATAACAGAATTATACACGGTCAACTAACCGCCCATAAAAACACAGACCGGTCAAGGCATTATCGGCGGTTAACCGGTTAACCGGTTAATACTTGACACCTCTACTATAGAGACAGAAGTAGAGCGAATGCAACACTTAAGACTTGAGTTTAATGTTTACATATACATTCTACATTATAGGTGTTCCAATGCATGTGCTAAATGGTAAACTATATGGTTATATGCTAAGCCCTCTTGATGAAATGCAAACTATAGAGACAGAAGTAGAGCGAATGCAGCATTTGAGACTTGAGTGTATGCTTGAGGACAATAGAGAATTACCAGAGCCTTCTAGTCATATTGAAGTAGACCTTCCTCCTAAAGACAAAGCTGGGTTTAGTCAGGTAAATTTATTTATGGAACACCTCTTTGCTATCAATAATAACTGTAATGATCTTATTTTCAATATGACTACAGATTTCATGATTTTTATTGTTGAAATAGGCACTGTTCATCTTTATTCATTTATGGGTCGTAAAAATCATTCACTCCAAATATGACTTCCAAATTGTTTTTCACAGTTTTAGAATTTTTTAGTTACTTTATTTTTTTGTCTGAAGCTGTAAGTATAAAGCCTAACATTGTATGGATGACATACACATTCATTGTGTATTATTTCAAATTACTTAAGTCTTAAAGGCATCAGCATATTCTAAATTTGAACCAAATCTGGCCATTACCTGTTTTTATGAAAAACTGGGCCATTTTGAATTCTAAGAATCAGATATTAACCCCTTGAACAGGTAGGCTTTAGAGAATAACACCAATGGTTAGACAGAGGCTTGGATCTGCCCCCTTTTATGATCTCTCAAATGAAAAATCATAGGAGGTTGTATTAGGTATCATTGGAAAGATTTTTCAATTCCCATTATTTAACCCATCATTCATTAGAGCTATATTTAGCCATTATTGATGAAAAATTCAATTTCTAAGAACAAAAGGGTTTATTGTTTCTAGTCAAAACTACTGACAATTGGGTAGCTTTGACCAGCTCTAATTTTCCTCCTAGGAAAGTTTTTCCGCTAAATATGCCCAATTCAATTTTAAGAAAAGCCAGAAAGTTTCAGATCAAAAGACAAACTACAAAACGTTATCTGAAAATCCCCTCTAACTGTTTAAAGGTTAATTGTTGTTTTATGTTTGTCAGATCTACATGATAAACCTATTGAGGAGACCTGAGAGAAGAGAGAGAATGTTAAAATCTCTGGAGGAACTCAGACTTCAGGCAAAGATCTTTGATGCCGTTGATGGAAAGTAAGTATACATTGTGCGTATATGTGAAGTCTCAAACAGTATTCCATCTGAAAATATAGGAAGTCTACTTCCAAAATGAAACACCATTAACTCAAATCAATAAGTAAGTGAAATAACATGTAACAATTTTTTTCCTTTTTATTGCAGACAGTTGAATGATACATACCTGTTTAACCTTGGTGTAGAGATGTTGCCAGAATATAGGGATCCTTACTCAGGGAGGTCTGTATTTACAATATACAGTGTATATAATCTATAATGTTCTGAAAAAATGAGAGGGATATATGAAAAAATCCCTAAATTAGATCAAAATATCAAAATATATGGATCGTCCCCTGTATTTGTATTAGATTTCAACTCTTCTATCTAAGAAAAAAGGGGTTATTCTCGTCTCATTTGTGAACAATTTTTTTGGACACCAGGTATGTAAAACCATTACAAAATATGAAGTGTGCTTATTAATTTAAAAGTCAATTGTGATGTCATAATATGTTGCTTGGTTACAGGTCAATGACGCTAGGGGAGATTGGATGTTTCCTTAGTCACTATTTTATATGGGAAGAGGTATGTGAACATCACTCATAACGGCTCAGTCCCTAACTTTAGATTTGAGACAAAACTGCCCCAATTCAAAAATTGAACAGCATACATTTTGAACAGAAAGAATAATACTTGTAGATAGCCTTTAATAGAAACTTTCTTTTCTGTTTTTTTAAGAAAATCGCTTGTCTAACTGTGAATGTGCTACTTAGTAGAAGAGGTGCTACTTGTGTAAATGCATATTAGTTAACTTACAAACCTTTATACTTCCAAAAAAAGTTATTTTCAAGGTCTATGGTCTATACAGATTGTTCCGAATTGTTACTTTAATTTTGGAGTTATTTAGTGCCAGAGTTGGGCAGTGAGTCTATTCAAAACTCACGCAAAATATTTAAGTAAAATAACATGGCTGTTTTCAGAACATACTTGATTTTGTATAGACCTCTGTTAAGTCATGGGCTTTCAACAGACTCTCTTGAAAGCCCATGGTTAAGTTAATGCTTATCAACAGTCTACACTTTTGAAATATACACATAGATACTTGTAATGATTTATTTTAGATTGTTAAAGAAGGTTACGAGACAGTATTGGTTCTAGAAGATGATGTAAGGTTTGACCGTGGGTTCAGGCGCAGACTCGACAGTGTCATGGATGAGGTTAAAAGGTCACAGGTTGGAGCTGAACTCATGTAAGATAATATTTAGATTTCAAGGAAAAAAAGTACTTAAAGGTCCTCTGAAATCATTAAGATGATATTTAGATTTCAAGGAAAAAAGTACTTAAAGGTTCTCTGAACTCATGTAAGATAATATTAAGATTTGAAGGAAAAAGTACTTAAAGATGCTCTGAAATCATTAAGATAATATTTAGATTTCAGGGAAAAAGTACTTAAAGGTCATCTAAAATCATTAAGATAATATTTAGATTTCAAGGAAAAAAGTACTTAAAGATGCTCTGAAATCATTAAGATAATATTTAGATTTCACCGAAAAAGGTTTTTAAAGGTCCTATGAAATCATTAAAGACAATCTTCATATCTCAAATTGTATACAGTGAAGGATTTCTCAGAGCTAACTCGTATATTTGTTTGGAGCTTTTGAGACATAACTGGTCCTTTCATTATATAAGCATCATTTACTTATGAGAAATATATTGACTCACCATAAATATTACATTTAAGTTTACACATATAAGACATTAACTAACATGTATGACAATACTAAGATATTGTCATTTCAGATATATAGGGCGAAAGGCCTTAAAATACAAAGAGGAAAGTTTCCTAGAAGAGTCTGATCAACTGGTGTGGCCTCACTACACTTACTGGACATTAGCTTATATAATAACCCAGTCAGGAGCAAAGAAACTACTTGACCAAAAACCATTGGGAAAGATGGTACCAGTGGATGAATATCTACCCATAATGTTTGATAAACATACAATGTAAGCATGCTTTTTATACATATGTATATATGGTTTCTTTCTTAAAGAAGGGCTAGTGGGCTTTGGTGGCACCATAACACTTAAGCAGTTAGGCTATATAGAATTTCATGAATTATTATTGTGCTTTCATGGTGTGCATTTTCGGTGACAAGAAATTTTACATGGAATCATTAACTACACTGTAGCCTGTGTAAGCATTTTTGCTGAAATGCTATTTTAACAGGCCATTATAATTACTAATTTTTTTGTTAGGTAGGGCCTTGTATATTTTTTCTCATTCAGAATTTAAACAGCTAACTGCATCTCGGACTGTTCGCCAAAAATAAGAAATAACATTCATCTTGTTTTCAGGGATGAATGGAAATTAGCATTTGAGCCGAGGAATCTAGTCAGTCTCTCTGTGTATCCACTACTAGTCTACCCAATGAAATACACGGGAGAGCCTGGCTATATCACAGATACAGAGGACTCTGAGGTTACTTTACAAAATGCAGATCCCCCAGAGGTTAGGGAATTCACACCTCAAGGACCTGAGATAGTGAAGGAGGAGTTGTAGTATGAAGAGGGAGAGAGTGGATGCGGGACAGAGGGGATGCGTGAGAGGGGATGAAAGGAGAGAGGGGATGAGGGAGATGGGGGATGAGGGAGAGAGGGTACGAATGAGAGGGGGGTGGGGACAAGGGATAGAGGGGATGAGGAACGGAGCATATGAAGGAGAGAGGGGATGAGAGAGAGGATGAGAGGGGATGAGAGTAATGCACACACACAAAGTTAATGTTTTGACATTTTTTAATTTTTATTGATTTATATTTGTAAAACCAGAGGAAATAAGAAAGATTGTTTTACACGTGTGCATGTATACTGCTTAATATGTGTCTGGAAAAGGTTTACCTATACATGTACTGTATGTTTTCTGATAAGAATTGATTTCTTGAAACAATTGCTTTCAAATAATTTTAATTCTTTTACATGCTCATATCATCAATTCTTCATTTGCCTAGATTTAATATTGTGTTAAAATAACCATTAGGCTACACAAAGTAATGTCTGTTATAGTGTCGATTTAGATCAGTAAGTAACAACCCTAATAGATGTAATAAGCTAAAAATTGTACATAGGACCCTTACAAATTAATTTTCTATTTGACAGTGTCTGCCAGGGCACACTAAAGACATCCCTGCTCAAAACCATGTTCTTGCCATTTTGAAAGTGTTCAGGGCATTCCATTGAACAATTCTTTCCTTGCCAGTTTAAATAAAATGAAGTTAGGTGGCCATTTTCTTTCTTTTTCAAATCACCCCCACAACTACCTGTCTGTTGAAACCCTGCTGTTGAAATTGAGCTGGATTAGTGGTAATTTAGATAAAATTCAGCTTTGTTTCCACTACTGACAACGTTTTCCAACCCCAGGATTTCAATACAAAAGTTGTTGTGGGGGGCGATTTGAGAAATCAACTCCACATTTATGGGGTACCTTTTCAAAAACTTCTGCTAGATGTTAATTAACCTGTAGAGGCAAATCAGATATAGACAGAAATCCATTTCAAAATGGAAAGCCATACATGCCAAGTGTTCATATTTAGCGTTCTCATTATAATTTTTCAATAGATTTGGATATTCAAGGGCTGATCAATAAGTATGACTTTTTTATTCAGATGCTTCTTTTTGACCAATTATATTTTGTTATACGAATTTTGTTACGAACAACATTTATTATCATAAGATTGCATATTTTGTTGTAAAATCATGCTTTGATTTGGAAGCAGAAAGTGTAGAGAGATTTAAAGTGCAAGCAATATTGATTTATATTACATGTGGAATCTTATGTAGAAAGATTTAAAGTGCAAGCAATATTGATTTATATTACATGTGGAATCTTATGTAGAAAGATTAAAAGTGCAAGAAATATTGATTTATATTACATGTAGAATCTTATGTAGAGAGAATAAAAGTGCAAGCAATAGTGATATATATTTAATGTAGAATCTTGTGTAGAGAAATTAAAAGTGCAAGCAATTTTGGTTTATATGAAATAAAGAATCTTATGTAGAGTGTTAAAGCAATTTTTATTTATATTCAATGTAGAATCTTATGTAGAGAGATTAAAAGTGCAATCAATTTTGGTTCATATTACATGTAGAATCTTATGTAGAGATATAAAAGTGCAAGCAATTTTGGTTTATATTAAATGCAGAATCTTATGTAGAGTGTGCAAGCAATATTGATTTATATTGATGTAGAATCTTATGTAGAGATATAAAAAGTGCAAGCAATTTTGGTTTATATTAAATGCAGAGTCTTATGTTCTAGTGTGCAAGCTATATTGATTTATATTCAATGTAGAATCTTATGTAGAGAGATTAAAAGTGCAATCAATTTTGGTTCATATTACATGTAGAATCTTATGTAGAGATATAAAAGTGCAAGCAATTTTGGTTTATATTAAATGCAGAATCTTATGTAGAGTGTGCAAGCAATATTGATTTATATTGATGTAGAATCTTATGTAGAGATATAAAAAGTGCAAGCAATTTTGGTTTATATTAAATGCAGAGTCTTATGTAGAGTGTGCAAGCTATATTGATTTATATTACATGTAGAATCTTATGTAGAAAAATTAAAAATGCAAGCAATATTGATTTACTGTACTCTATTTACTATGATAAGAATCTTATATAGAGACTAAAAGTGCAGCTTATGATTTATATTCAATGCAGAATCTTATGTAGAGATATTAAAATGCAAGCAATACTGATTTATATACATCTAGAATCTTATGTAGAGAGATTAAAGTGCAAGCAATATTGGCTTGATTATTGTGTGTTTAGATAGATTTATTCTCTATATATTCTATAACCATTTTTATAAAAATATTCAAAGTACTGCTGATGTATTGGAATCTGTTGTCATTATTGACCTGGGAAACAGGGTGGAGGTGCATCTGGTAATATTTCTATCACACTACAATACCTAACATTTGGAAATCAATAAGCCACAATGGAATCTAAGCAATTACTATGGACATTCTGACATAAGTATATTTAACACGATTTCTCACATATTCTCACTTTTACTTATCCATTATATAAGAGCATCTGCTAAGCATTTGAATGGTACCAAAATTAACCAATAACCTTTCAAGGGGTTTTAAATTTGCAGATTTGTGCGTCTAAATGGTCTACTAGAATAAAGTGTTTATACCAGTCTGAATGGTCTAAGCCTAGTCTTAAAAAACAAAAGTGCTGTAGCAAACATGTGACAAAAGGTCACACAGTGACATTGGTCAACGTTCATGCCAGCCCTAATTATACTATTGCTTGAGTATGAAGGGCATGTGTCCAACTTTACGATTTATAATATCCCTCTTTATAAACGCCAACCTCCCTTAGAAAAAATGTTTTCCCTCTCCTTTCAATAAAGGCCCGTGGACGTTTATTTTGAGTTCTTTTAAATAAAGTCCTTATGCAGCAAAATAAACGCCCAGTGGACCTACTGGCGAGAAACACCTGTACCACTCAAAATGACCATCTAGTCTAAATAGTCTACTAGTCTAAATGAACGACTAGTTTAATTTGTTTAATAGTCTAAATGGCCAACTGGACTTAATGGTCTACTATTCTTAATGGCCTTCTAGTCTAATTAATCTACTAGTCTTCATGGCCATAAATCATTACTAGTATTTACTAGTACTATTACTAGTATTTGGGGGGGGGGGCTTATAAAAGCCAAATGTCTGGTGTTGTAGTGTGTCTTTGCATATAATGTTATGTAGATAAAACCTACTATTGTTTGAGGCATTATCATCTACATCTTTATACTATTTACACATTTTAAAGTCATCAAATAATCAGCATTCAACATTGCATTTAGTTATAAAATCCATTATATGCATAATACTCATAAAATATAAAGTTACAAAAAGAAATAAAATTGTTTTGTTAATACAATGTAACAGCAATGCCTGTATTGTATCAATACATATCTCAGTATTTACTATTTGTTATATGTGCTTTTAGAGAAACCACATGGTTAAGGTAACAGTTTGAAATTATTTTCTTAGCAATAGATATACTGAATTACTAGTAATTGAATTTTTAGTGAGCTATAGTAGGGTATCATCTACAAGACAGCGAAATGCATAAAAGATCAGGCGCAAATTATGCGAGGCTGGTCAAATTCAAAACAGCATATCAAAATAGGAAACATCAATAAAGAAGATACTTATTTCAGTCGTCTATGCTCAAGCCGTTTCTTTAAAGCAGAAATGCGTTTTGTAGAAATGTATTGATGAAGTTGCATGACGTCTAAAAATCTGAGAAAGTCTGAAAAATCGGCCGAATATGGCTGATAATCTACATAGGTCCGTACCAGAGAACTAAAAAATTTAAGTTTCTCGAAAACACTTGAAATTGACAAAATCTCCTGAAACACAGGGAAATAAATATAACTTCACAGATAATTTTCCTTTTTTCCACAAACACTGCGAATGACAAATAAGAATGCTGAAACTTTGAATGTTTTATCAATTTGCTGCACACACATTGTGCAGTTTACATCCCTTTGTATTTGAAACAGAATTTGGTCGACAAGACTAAGGTTCGGAGTGAATTTTGTACTTCTAAGTCATGAATGTATCAAAAACAAAGTTTGAGTTATTTCAGCGTTATTAACGTGTGCTGGATGCTGTTGACCTTATTTCAGATTAAAGTTGTGCTAAGGTCACTACCAGAACTAAAGAATTAGTGAAGCAAACTCAAATAGGTCACAAAAATGCCTGAATAAAAAGAAGACAAGGGTAGAGCAATATCGCACCCTTTAATAGAATAGACAGTGTCCGGAACGGGATATTCAAAAGTACCGCCTTAACGTTTACTCAGACTGCCCAAAACAAATCAGTTCTTAACTTTCATACAAAGAATCATTCCTAAAATTTCAGATCACTCCATTGAACAGTTTGGGTGGAAACATAGAGACAAGACTTACAAGTTCACAGACAAGATTTTGAGATGGAAATCCAAAATTGTTTCAGGATCTTCTTTCTATCTAGATTTACCCATCACGTATTAATTATCACAACGCATGGTGTTATGAAATGTACTGTAAATGAAACAATGCTCGAGCATTTATATTGGCTGATGCTTATGTATCCTTTGAATAATTCACTCTCTCGAAGTTTATAGAATCATTGTAAACTTTCTGACAAATTCTTTTATCTTCAAAACGATTTCAATAAACTTGAATTTACAAAACTCCCCTAACTTTTAAAAAATAGACTGATCCAGTACACACGCTTTGAGCTGCCATTTTGTTAGCTCTCATAGTGAGCTATTGCAATTACTCACTTGTCCGTCTGTCGGTTTGTCTGTCCGTCTGTCAACAATTGGCCCGTTTTAAAACCTCTGTCAATAGGATTCCCGTTTTAAGTTATTTTTGTTCAACATCAATATAGAAAACCCCCTGTGACTCCTGGCTCAAAACCTCGCCTATTTTCAAAATGGCTGCCATTTTTGTCTCGCGAAATGCACGTTTGGCACATTTCCTAGCTTTACAAATAAT